GGGAGGAACAAAACACACTCTTGAGAGAATTTAAGGACAACTTAATTCTGTCCAAATTACTGGCAACCTGTCCAGGGTGTTTCCTGTCTTCCGCCCAGTGACCGCTGGGATAGGCTCCAGCTCTCCCCGTGACACAGAAGGGATGAAGCGGCTTAAAAGATGTGTGTGTGTGTGTTTGTGTGTGTGTGTGTGTGTGAGTTAATTCTGTCCAAAATTTTTTTTATAATTGCACGATTAAAAACAAAAACAACAAAAAATCCCTCATTCATACTGGTTTGATGTGAAATGTTCCATTCTAGAGAAGCTTATCTTGTCAGAAATGTTCAAAGTGGTGGTGATAGGAACCAGACATCTGAAGAGATATAAAAGCTCCCTGGCAGAAAGTTATTACATGAAAAACGCTCTCTATTGACCCTAATAATAATTTTAATAGAACTTAAGCCCTTTGTCTTTAATATTTTTTTTATGTTTTTTTTTTTTTTAATTTTGCTTTTATTTACTTCATACTTCCTTTTAAAGCATCATTATGCAAGAACTGGTGTTTTTTTGCTCTTGGGCTCTCCCTACAGTTCCTGAGTGTAATTCACTTTTACACCGCTGTTGTAAACACAAATTGTGCTGTAAGCCCCCTTCATGGACATGTGCCTTTGTTACAAGCTGAAGGATACATAATCTGACTCCCCTTCTGAGTAGACTGCTAAACCTCGTAAGTCAACATGGTTCTTTCTTTTCTAATGTTGTGTTTGCAGAAGTTGTGCTGAATTCTATCTCACCAGCAAAATCCGACTTTGCGTGCAGGTGCATTACACAGGCATATGGACACTACAGATTACACTCACGAGCCAGCAAGACACCATTCAGCACAACACCTGAAAACACAATATTAGAACAGAAAGAACTTACTGTTGAATTACAAGGTAAAGTAAAATTACAGGATTATATTACAGGAATTTGCAAACTTTCAAGGCTTATTTAGCATGAGATTGACAAAGTCTGACCAAATTTTTGCCATGAGATGAATTTATTTCTTTGCATGCTAGCCTAAAACGGGACTGAGGTTAGATGACTTTTGGCATGCGGAAAAACTACAAAACCCAGTGAGACAGGGATGACGCCGAAGAGGTTACAGCCTACGTCACAATCTTTCATAAATAACATTAGCAGGGATGAACACACTGCTTCTGAATTTTTGTTGTTTTCCTGTTAGCTATGAGACTGTCCGGAACCCTTTTGTCTCTTTTAGCTCGCGCCAACAAGTAAAAGCCAGTCCAAGATTTACTCTTGCTTGATCACTCTCTCTTTTCCTCTTCCTTGCTTTTTCTGACAATATCTTTTTCAGCCTCTTTGCAGCCTCTGCCATGATGTCCATGCTGGGAATACCAAGCTAGCTTCTTCTTATAGCTAGCTCAAGAGCCATAGCTACTGATGTGAGCACTATAGCAGATGTTCCAGGCCAGAGTGGCAATGACAGAGACTCCATATTATACCATTCTCCCTATTGTAAGTCAGTGTGCCATCAAAATGATTTTTAAGCTGTTGTTGATCTGACGTGATATTATTACATAGTGCACTTTTTATCTTTTTAGCAATTTTATGTGCATTGTTTTTTACTCTTAAGCACTACATTTCCTTTTGATGTTTAGATTTATGTATGTAGCTTTAGCTTTTATTTATGTAAAGCACATTAAATTGCTTTATGTATGAAATATGCCACATAAATAAACTTGCCTTGATACCTGAGACATTGATTAACAATTGTTTAGAAATTAGACTTTTGCCTAAACTCCATTCATGGTGGAGAGGTACATGTAGAGTGATGCTATTATAGCCACTATAGTACTATGATCAACATTTCATATAATAACCCAGTCATACGCATGCTCACTGATCATTTGGTAATCTGAGTCAGTAGGTTTCTCTACAATGAACCATTTCACATCAAACCACTCTGAATGACTTTGTTTACATCAAATTGACTGAATTGAACAGAAATTTTGAAAAAATTAGTGGAACTCTTTCTTAAAGGACTATGAAAGCTTACTTGATTTTGTGTGTTTAATAGTGCATTATATTTCATTACAGGTGATAACCTTCGTGTTCACAGAACTGTGATCTGCAGGCCTACTTGAAAGTGGTCTGCTGTGAATGAGACGTCTGTCTGAGCCAGGTTTAGGCCTACCTGTAGTTGTGTCTGTATGTATAATTATACACAGTCTGAGGGGTGTCCTGCCCAGCAATTGCCTGCACCAAAATAACTAATTCAATTCCTCAGCTAGTTTATCCAGCCTGTTATGAATGAAACAGGTGTTGGAAAACACAAAACTGTGCAGAGCAAGGCTCACCCAGGACAGGGCCTGAATCCTGCCCTGTAAAGCAATGTTTCTCAGTCCTGCTCTGGACCTGTACTGCACATTTCCCTGTTTCCCTCCACTGTCACACTTTAAGTAACTTAATAAACCCTTTTGTGAGATTATATTGGGTAATTAGCATTAAAGTGAATATGCTGGGGCAGGAAAACACTAAAACATGCAATGTAGAGACTTGAATCCAGTGATTTCATTGGAAACATTGATTTAGCTGAAGCCTTTTTTCCCTTTCAAGCTGTTTTAACAAGCCACAGATCATGAAAAGTAAGATGTTTTTACATGTTTATACATTAATTGTACGTCATTGTAGTGGAGATCACACTCATGAACGGGCTTGATAAGCAGCTGATTAGCTAAATCAGGTATGTTTGGGCTGGGAATCGTTGAAAGGCTGGCCACTGTGAATAACGCTAAAAAGTGTTGACCACTCAGGACCACTGGAAGCAAACAAATGTGTATACGTTGTGTATTTACATGTTGTAATTTTGGTATTACAAGATTTTTAGGAATGAAATATGTAAAAATTATAATATCGTACACTGGCGTTTTGCTAAATTTGCTACAAAAGCAAGGGTGTTAATAGGAGGCATACATGTTGTTGGACTTTCTCATGCAGTGTCTTATTATTTTCCACGAAATGGTGCTATGATACAGTTTAGAGCACGGGTGTCCAAACTTTATTCAAAGAGGGCCAGATTGTACCGTGTCTAAATACCGGAGGGCAAAACATTATTCACCAATGATTCATAATATATGGTTTCAAAATATCAGTGCACAGAATCAGAGCGTTCCATGTGTTACTGTGTTTCCTATCACTGTATAAAAGATGCACAAGGCTTCTTTCACTGTTGGATTGCTCAGAGATACTCGGATTGGTAAGCACTTGTAACAAATAATTACATTGTTTAAGAGTAACAAAAAAACATGCCTGATGTATTAAGTATTTTCCTGGTCAAGTGTTTACTTCTTCAAAAATATAAATTGTGAGACAAACTAAGTATAAATCTATACAGTTGTGTTAGCTCATGTTCTTTATATGTCAAATAAATGCAGCAATAGCATTCGTAAATCACTTTATTAAATGAGAAGAGGAGATTAAACAGCATAAATAGCCAAGCTTTCGTTCAGCCTTAAATGGTTAATATTTACCAAACTACTGAATTTGCTCTGATAAGAAGTTGGTGCTGTGAGATTCAAGTAGCTGCAGTTGCTTTAGTTTCTTTGCCCTCCCCTAAATATTTATTGTTACGTCCATGCTTTGTTTGATGTCTATTCATATTAAATTCATTACTGTCTTTTGACATACAAGGCACATACATTTGCTGTGGCGTTCGTTAAAAAAGTATTCAAATTTCCATCTCACTAAAATTGACCGTTCTAATTATTATTTTTATTATTGTTATTGTCGTTGTTTATTTTCTGGATAAAAACACTATAACATTTACATTTCTTGTTTATATTCGAGGGCTTATGACGTACATGGAGTACAGAAACATTTTGGCTCCAGTTACCTTAAATCTTGATAGTTATAATTGCTGCTCGGTGCTGAAGAGTGTGTATCAGCGTTAGGCTCATATGAATAACTAACCTGGTGGAAAATAATTCATTGTCATAAGGAATTGTAAAAACTCAAGTTTATACATGGATTTGGCTTATTTTTCTTTGTTAATACATGTGGCCCCTATATGATTTAATTTATATGAAATGTATATAGAAGGTTTTTTTACATTGTGGAAATGACTTTTTCCATCACATCTCTGTGATGATGTTGCACAGAAAGTCCTCTTTTTTCCCCAATATCTTAAACTCATGTCATACTATTAAAGATGTTCAAATTGCATCTGTGTTTAGTATAGATAGATAGATAGATAGATAGATGTGAAACAGAGATGCATTTAACTGAGACCATGAATCGTTCAGGAGACCTATGTGAATAGTTAATGTTTCATTGAATGAATTTGGGGTCAGGAGTTCCTTTCTGTCTTGAACAAAAACAAAGTTCAGAATTAACCCCGAACAGCAGCTCCTTCAGCCAACACCGTGAGTATTAGCAAGTTACTGCTCTGAACCGCCATAATCTGCCACAATTTGTAATTTGTAGAGGTAAGAAACACTTTTTTCTTCTGGGCTGAGTTAGTCCTTCTTTATGTAGTTTAACACGACCAGCAAGCCGGCCTGCCTTTTTTTTTAAAATAGTTTTTCTGGCTTAAAAATAGAGTATTTCTTTAGAAAAACAAGGAAAAAGCTGTAAACAAACATACACAACACTGTATGCATTAAGGATTTCTAATGATAAAGTCCCTAACATTAGAGTAAGACAGAGGAAAAGCGGTGAAGCAGAGTTCTTTGCCTGCTGACAGGTTTAAAAATTAGTGTTTGTGTAAATCAGTGTGAATAAATTGTTATTATAATTATTAATATTATTTTAATTAATTATTTTATTTGTACTTAAACCGGTTGACGTTGCGTTGTACGGCGCTGCAGAACCGCGTAATTTGCGCATCCTGGAGACTCGGTGATCTCCGTTATTTCCCACGAAAATATTTCTGTTCAAGCCTGCGCAGATTCTGCGCTGAGCGAACGCCTCTTTTTGTTGCATTTACGCGATTGGTCAGTTCAGAGGCGGTGACAACTACGTCATGCAGAATCTGCTCCTCGGAAATGTAAAATATTGTTGTTTCGAGAAGGAGGCGAGTTTAGGAATTTGTTAGAAACTGTTTACGAGTGTAACAGTTACAGTTTAGGACTTTGTTATGGTTTAGGATCTAAAACCTGACCTGCAAACTGCTGGAAAAGGTAACGATGAAGTCTTTAACTGTATCTCGAGCACCTTGAAATAGAAGCTGTAAACGTGTAAACATGTGCTTTGACTCAGACAGTCACAGTGTGGGCATCTGAGTGAGGACAGAAGTGTTTACACACCTAACCTAATACGCTCATAGTCGAATACAGGTTTAAGTCTTTAAATTGACCACCGTGTCGTTCTGTCTGCTGATGAGGCTTAAGGCAGAGGACTGGAGCTGCTTTCAGACTCGAATGGACAGAGGTCTGAGTTGTCTGAGTGTCAGTACTAACAACCTGCAGCCTGTTTAAATCTGATTTGAAACCTGACTAAACCTCATTGGATCTGATCGCTGTCTTATTGTTTCCTGTCATTGTGAACAGTGGAATCTCATGCAGGCATTATTAGCCCTTGAGAGGAAATGTTTTATGCCGCAAAAGTGATATCGGCTTAATGTAATAGATAAATGTTTTAAAACATGTTAAAATGTATATAAAATCAGTAAATTGTTGAATGACCAAAAGTGGCATACAGAAATACACTTTTATCACTAGGCATTAAAATGTCTCGGTGTTATGATGGAGCGTTACATTCTAGGTGAGTTTTTGCAGATGGAGGTTGGGGTGGGCAATATGACAGAATACAGTATCACAATACTTAATGACGTTTTCACAATATACAATATATACCATGATCTTTAGTTAGTAATTTTGATTTTTTTTTTTTACAGCTACACTGTAAAGTTTTGTTTGTTTTTGTAGTTCCTAATAAGCCATACTTTGTTCTGAACCACATTCTCAAGTCTGCACGACCTTAGTGAAGAGCTGGGTGCAGTTGGAGTGGGTTGAGACAATTTTGGAGAAAAGACTTGGGCAACTGTTGACTTCGAGTGTTTGTTAGCAACATCAGCCTCGTAGCTCCAGAGCTAAACTAAAGAAGTAAAATTTGGACAGCAAACTTTCCTAGGCTCATCATTTTTTCTGAATGATTCCTATAAGTACTGATGATATCCACGATATCCAATGCTCAGAAAAGTGTATTGTGATGTAGCTTTTCATGATATAAAATTGTCATACTGCCCACTCCTAGCTGTAGATATAAAGAAAAAGAAATATTTATGTACATGTAGGTATGTATATATGTATGTTTATATTAGTTATTAGTTTGTTAGTGTTATTATAAAAGCTATTTAAATGGACTGGCCTATATGGGAAGCATATTAAAAGTGTTTGGATGAGTTATTTGGTAAAAAAATAAAACGATTTTATATCATTTCTTTCACAGATATGAATATTGCGCATGTGGTCCGTAGCTGCAGATCTGTTTGTTGCTTATTAGAAACTAATCCAACAAGAAAGTTCTTCTCCACACGAGTAAGTATTCTCTGATTAGTCCACCACAGTAATTGTTCCTGTGTTCTAATCTGACGATTTCATGTTTTCTTCTAGTTCAATATGGCATCAGCCAAACACAAGAATACTAAAAGGATTGAAGGGCTAGACAAGAATGTTTGGTAAGAGTGCAGTAAATTTGGACACTTGGCTGCCACTTGCTACGACAATAACAGATGGTTTCATGCTTTTCCTTTCTGTGCTGTAATAGGGTCACCTTCACTGCAATGGCAGCAGATCCAACTGTTGTTAACCTTGGTCAGGGTTACCCAGACATTCCTCCTCCATCTTATGTGAAAGAGGGTCTCGCTCAGGCTGTAATGGTGGACCAGCTGAACCAGTACACGCGTGGCTTTGTAAGACAGTCCTTATGCTTATAAACTTATTCAGTTTGTTATTGCTGGCTGGAATTGTTATACCTTACTGGTTTCCTGAAGACTACAATAAAAGGTCATGTGTCGTTGGAGAGGGGGCATAAGGCCCTATAATCCTATAAAGTTTGAAGTCGGTTCCTCTTTGGGCGTTTTCACATTTGAGTCCGCACTCAAGATCGATTCTGGGTACGTGTGGGGGAGGGGCTCATGATCGCTGGTTTGCTTTCATACTCACTACTTCTAAATACTAAAGTATTTGCATTTAGAATCACTCAGCTGGTTTCCTGATACTTTAATCTGCAACAGGAAACTGTCAAACATTAAAAAGTCACGAAGCTGAAGTCAGTTTCTCATTCACCAGTTTCTTGTTCGAATTTTCCCGTTCCACCTTAAATGGTTCAGCAGTTACATTCTGGTGCCTCAGGCACCATTTAAGGTGGAACTAATGGCAAATGACGAAGTGCATTCGCCGAAAATGGAAAGGTAAATGGTTAGGGCAAACAAATTAATGGCTAAATGAAATGTTTTAACATCTTTCTACTCTTTTTCGGAGTGAACGCGGTGTGTAAATCGAGTTGCCACTCTCATCTCGAGAGTGCCGATATTTCTTATCCCGTGCAAATCGCTCATTCACAGTACAGACATCCTGTATCCACCTCCCTATGGAAAACTAATCCCCTCTGAATAGGGCTAAGTTTGATACAAATTTGCGAGATTCCAGGGTCCGTATCTCCGGTTCCCTGAAGGCTAGCAGTGATCCAGGGCTCGTTAAAAAGTGCACGTTGTGCTCTGTGGAGTTTGGCTTTGTCGCTGATTTTTAAAGTGGCTTGTTGCAAAGCATTCCCTTCTCCTCTGGTTTATTTCATGACGTCATCAGTGATTAGTGGACATCGACTCGAATTTCATCACATAACTGTTGACTTTTAAAAATCTGAAGTCGTGTGGCTCCTAATGCAAATACATCATACAGCCATTAGGAATCATGTGGTGTCAACCAATGCTGCTATAAGCTAACACATATTTTCAGCCAAAGAAACTGATGTGAGGTATTTAGAAAAACAGGTAGTTACTTTGCTAACTGTAGTTTTTAGCTTCTTATCGTTCCCTTTCCTGATGCATCTACGTTGTTTTAGTAATCTGTTCACTCCATTGTAATGATGAAAAGTTGCCAGGGTTGTGGCTGCAACAATGTATATTCAGCATTCGCAAGGAAAAAAAAACAGGCCGCCATCAGAAATTCTCTCCAAAGCAGTTGTTTCTTTTTTAGCCACATTTGATCTTCACATTTGTGCTAAGGCAAAATGAAATGTAAAATTTCATACAAGGACATGAAAGGGTTAAGGAGCTACACAAGTTTTTTGCCCATTAGCCTTAAAATCACTGTCTAACTGGGTAAAACATTGTCTCAGTTAAGCACAGTTTATTCTTAATCCCAGGCGTCTCAAGATCACTATCGTTTAAAGAGTTTCTGGAATTTCTCTCATTTCTTTAAATGGCTGTATTCATTCTTTTATACAAGACTCATTATAGTCTCTTAACCCTCCAGCAAGGGACACTAATCTTTTGCACAACAGAATCACAAGTCATAGTGGTGTTCTTTTTAAATCTGGGAAGGATTTGGAATGATGTAGTTTCTGTAATTGTACATCGTATACACAAACCAAGAAAGTGTGATTTCTTGCAACTTAGTCTTAAACAGCCAGAAATTCACTTTTGGATTATGACGTGGAGGAAGAAGCTATATTGAAAAGCCCTTCTGTTCTATGCCTGTACAAACTTTCTGAATAGGCTGAAGGTTGATGTTTTCGACAGGGACACCCAACACTGGTGAAAGCCCTGTCTCAAGTGTATGGGAAAGTTTGCGGCCGTCAAATTGACCCCTTCAAAGAGATCCTGGTGACAGTGGGAGGCTATGGCTCATTATTCTGCTCCATTCAGGGGCTGGTAGAAGAGGGAGATGAGGTAAATTAGTAACAGCATTTTCCAGATTTGAGAAAGATGCATTGCTCCCTCTAGTGGATTGATTGTGTAGCACATTGACTGGTTTTCTTTTGTCCCCCTCTTAATTTAGGTTATAATAATTGAACCATTTTTCGACTGCTATGTTCCTATGGTTAGGATGGCAGGGGCCAAGGCGGTTTTTATACCACTTCGACTTGTAAGTTTCTATCTTTTATTATTTCTTTAAAAAAAATACTTAATGATGCGTTGAAGATCCACCGTTTTCCATCATGTTTTGTAGAAGTCCAATAAGAACACAGACATCAGTAGCGCAGACTGGGTTCTGGACCAGGATGAACTTGCAAGTAAATTCAATTCTAAGACAAAGGCCATCATTATCAACACTCCTAACAACCCCTTAGGGAAAGTAAGGCCAAACTCCTTCAGAAGTCCATTCTAGATGTTTCTCAAGTTAGGAACGTTTTGCTGTTATTGCTAACTGTTTTATTTTGCTTGGTTAAACAGGTCTTCACCAGGAGTGAACTGCAAGCTATTGCGGACCTTTGCATTAAGCATGACACGCTGTGCTTCAGTGACGAGGTTTACGAATGGCTTACATATAAAGGCCATGAGCATGTGAAGATAGGTATGGCAGTACATCTTGTGTAATAGTGTATTTAAAGGAGTAATGCAGTCAAAAAATGATGCTAACAATGAATGAAAGGAATAACTAACAATAAACATTGTGCAAATATGCCTTGGAAATGTGATTTCACAATGCAGTGGTCCACCTTTGTAGAGGGATTGGTTGGTCTAGGGTGGTTCTGAATGATTAAATGAATCTTGTTTTCCTTCCTGCTTTCCTTGAATTTGGCTGATGGACTCGCTAAGTATGTTTGCAGAGCTCGCTAGCATATGGGTAGAGCAAAAATCAAAGCGTAATCAAGAAAAGCAAATAGGAAAGGAAAAAGGAAAGGAAAGGTCTGAAACTCTATATGTCTGGCCACAGAGCTGGGAATACTGGGGGAATTCCCGTTTCCACTATTGACATTATTATTATTATTATTATAATTCCATTATTATTATTATTCCATAATAACTACTATGTAACTAAAATGTAAGTGATGAAGTTGAAAGTGAGGAAATGAATGGTTGTCTGGATCCTTATAGCTGAAGGGATTAATAACATAAAGGGTCCATATGATGGACAACCCAATTTCACTCACTTTTTTTTAAAATAAAGGAGTATTGAAGTAGTATTGTTATAGTAATTTATATATATATATATATATATATATATATATATATATATATATATATATATATATATATGTAGTATTGTATTGTTTGAAGTAATTACTGCTTTCTGTTTTTATTAGCATTTCACACCCTGTCCCAACTATCTTGGAATTGGGTTTTTATATGTGGATATATGTGGGGAAAAATATAAAATACAAGAAAAATGTATGATATGGGCCATTTAAAAAAAAACTTGTAGCCCAGTGATCACCAGCTCTGCACGGTTTAGTGTTTTTCTTGCTCTAATAGACCTATTAGGTTAAACTCATAAGTACTAAGGCATTTGTTTTTGGATAAGCTGTGTTTTGAGAGGCCACTCCACTGTGTGTGGCTGTGTTCTTCGAAGTTAAAATGTAAGATTTGTGCTATAGTTATATTTCTATCATTTATAAATTGCACATTCTTCAGCAACTCCTAAATAACACCCTATAGAGCAATGATTTGTATGTGAAGGATCTGCAAATTGTAGTAATTTTCTCCTGTTCTTTGTATAGCGACTCTTCCTGGCATGTGGGAGCGAACCATCACTGTTGGCAGTGCAGGAAAAACCTTCAGTGTGACTGGCTGGAAGGTAACAACTTAAAATGAACTGGCCTGTTGCTTATTCCTTTTGGAAGGTTAATAAGGCAGAACATATTCTTATAATTATTATTTTTTCTCTCTTCTCAGCTGGGCTGGTCAATAGGGCCCGAACACTTGGTGAAACACCTGCAGACTGTTATGCAGAACACGGTGTATACCTGCCCAACACCACTACAAGCACGTATTGCTCATGTTCATATGCGTACACTTACTCACAGTAATCACTGTGGTACCAAGCCCAGCCCTGCAAATTTTGATGTTTTTTCCTACTCTAATAAAGGCCATATTTATATCTAAGCTCTGCAGTGGGTAGTGCTGTCGCCTCACAGCAAGAAGGGCCTGGGTTTGATTCCCGGCCCGGGTGACCAGGGTCCTTTCTGTGAGGAGTTTGCATGTTCTCCCCATGTCTGCGTGGGTTTCCTCTAGGTACTCCAGTTTCCTCCCACAGTCCAAAGACATGCAATCAGGCCAGCTGGACATGCTAAATTGCCCCTAGGTGTGAGTGTGTGTGTGTGAATGTATATGTCTGTCTGTCTGCCCTGCGATGGACTGGAGACATGTCCAGGGTGTTTCCTGCCTTCCGCCCAGTTTTTTTTTTGTTGCAATGCCAGTGACAACAGCATAGATCAGTCAGACCATTGAGCAAGCATCAAGCCCGCTCAGCTGCTTTACTGTATAGTTACAATATGGCAGTTATGTTGATGTGACTTATGTAATAGGCTTATGCCAACTAATCACCTAATTAAGCCCTTTTTGAATTGAAGTAGGTGTGGTAGAGCAGGAAAACACTAAAACGTGCAGGGCAGTGGTGCTCTAGTCGCTTGTTCCAGTACTCATTTTAACATGCCCTTGTTAACTTGGCCTTGCCCTTTCCAACTGGGGGAATTTCTGATGCCATTAATGAAGTTTTTTAAATAAGCCCTCGGAGGAGCATGGGATCAGGTGTCTGTGTTGTCAGCAGAACTTGCCTAGAAACCGTTGAGATCTGAGGAAATTCCTGTTTCAACCCAGTTAAAAGTGGCCGACAAAGCTGTTTATAAGCAATGGCAATAAAATACTTGAAAATACTAGAGATGCATCAGTATGGAAATTGTGGGCCAGTGCTGGTATCCAACATTTTTTATGTACATATCTGCTAATGCCAATACATAAACATTTATGAAACACAGAATTTGGGACTAGAATTGCTCAGCTTTGCCTTACAGGGAAATGTGACACTTATTTATATATGTAGTTACAGGTGCAGTAAAATAAATAAAATAAATAGACATTTTGGCATTGAAGCCCAGCATCACCTGAACATTCTGTTCTTCCATCAGATATTGCTTTGGAATACCAGTCAGATCTAAGCATCTGTCATTTGTTTATATGTCATAATGCATACTAATTAAATACTTAATCTGTCAAAACTGTAACATTTAGTTTGCTATGGTCAGAATGATGTATGTAGCAAACTACTCCACCTGTTATGACTTCATGACTGCTGATACAATTATTACCCTGCTAGCTTGTGTTAGCAAGCTAAAGGCTACACAGCTGGCAACAACAAAAAGAAAGGCAACACACAATGGTTTTAAAGCACAGCTTGTAGTCAGACAAAGTAGTTATTAACAAAGTTTGCTTATTTTATATTTAGACTTCTCAAAAAATGTTTTGCATTATAAAGCTGGCATGGCTAGTGTATTAGCTCACCGAGGCTAACCTAGCTGAACATCATGTGCTGTGATTGGCTACTTGTGCAAGGCAGGTGTGATGCATGTCAAAATGGTAAGAGGTGAGGTAAAGTTGGTGAGGGCATGTTAAAAAAAAGGCTGGAACCACTGCAGTAATCCATTGTGTGCATGTATTAAATGTAATGTTTTTTTTATAATTCTGTGGTAATTCGGTAGGAGGCGGTTGCGCGGGGGCTTCTGCGTGACTATGAGGTGATGGGGCAGCCGGACTGTTACTTCTCTTCACTAGCGGAAGAGTTAGAGGGCAAGAGAGACCGCATGGCGACCGTACTGAAGCAGGCTGGAATGAATCCAGTGGTCCCTGAAGGGGGCTACTTCATGATTGCTGATGTCACGGCTCTCAGTGAGACGCTTCTTCACATTCTTTTTATTATAGTTTTCCAAAAGCAATATTATAGAATATTATGTAATTATATGGTACTTAGCATTATACAGTAAGTACCTTTGTGGGGTTTCTTGTATCGCCTTCTCTATCCATAGATCAGGATCTTTCACATGTGGAAGATGATGAGCCATATGACTACAAGTTTGTCAAATGGATGATAAAGGAGAAGGTATAATGGGCCGATCTTGTTTTCAGTGGAACTATGACTGATTTCCATCTTCTCTCCATGTAGGCAAATAAAGCAGACTGTGCTGATTCCAATTTCTTCTGAAGTAGCAAATCTGTCTCTTCTAGAAATTGGCTGCCATTCCTATGACGGCATTCTGTGGGGAGGAATCCATAAAACACTTTGAGAAATACATACGACTCTGTTTCATCAAGGTAGGGAGTGATAGATTATGAGACATACTAGTGAATGAGTGGAAAAGAAGCAGTAATGTTATTGGTTGGGTTGAATCAATGTCTTGTTTAGTCGTTATTGAACCTGGCGATTCAATTAAGAACACATTTTTTTTTACACTGATATTCTGGCCAGAAGAAATGCTCAGGTTAAAGTTAATACAAAACCAATAAGAATTGTGAGTTTGATTTATTATACTCTTCACAAGTTTGGAGTTTTAGCTCAAACCAAAGCAGATTAATCAAATTTATGAATGTATTTTTTTCTTCACGGCAGCAAGACAGCACACTTGATGCAGCAGAGGCTATATTGAAGAACTGGAACAAAGCTTGATTTTGGATGAAGCAGTATAGTGCTGCACTGGACTCCCTTCATCACTTTACTGGGGGAAGAAAGAAAAATCTTAAATTATAATGGAAGTTAATGTTATGATTGAATTTCTGTTGGTGAATTTATCATGAAATTTTAACACTAAGCAGTGTAATCAGAGTTTTAAAATTGTAAAATAAAAACAGCAGAGGTTATGTCTTTGAAATCTTTTTTTTTGATGTTGGTGTTGTTCTGTGTTCTGTGTGATGTAACATTTACCACTGACAGGAATCAGCTGCCTTGGGGCTCAGAATAAAACTGTTATTTGCATTCCTGAGCTCAGTTTCTGTTGCTGAGTTTCACTCAAGCTGAAATTCCACAAGCTGAAAACATGATTCAGGACAACTCAGAAGATCCCTCAGCACAGCACAGCAAAAATGTGCAAAGTAAAATAATTTTAGAATAGAAACAAAATTAAAAGGTCAAAGCTGAGCAAATTTCTACAGTACAGCCTTGACTAAAATGGTTTGTGCATGTTTCAGTATCCTTTTGGCATTTTCATGTGATGCTTGTTTTAACCACTAGATGGAATCATTTAACATTATTTGCATGTGATCACTGTCAGTAGTGTTCATTGGTTCGATTCAGCAGCAGCAGAAGTCTGATCTGACAGTGAATTCTATTAGAAATCTGTGCATTTTTTTGGCAAAGTTTTGTTTGCACACTTACATGTGTTTGTATATGGCCAGTCATATTTTAGAGGGTCTGAGTGAACAGCACCATTATACTCTAAAACGTGGCGTGTTAAGAACACACTAATGTGTTTTAAGACTTTTTTTGTGTCATATTGTTTTAGTAAATTTAAGTTAAGGACTAAATCTGGACAGAATTCCAAATTCTTTACAGAAGGAGAATTGACTCTCTGGTCAGTTGGAAAAGTAGCTCATGCAAATATGCTAACATTGCCTCCAATAACCACAATGTCATTGTGTACTAATAATTGGTGGCTCTTCATTCTCTGTTATCAACATTGGCATTTCTAACCTTATTATTCCTTTAATGCAGGGCTATTAAGTTCTGGTCTTGGGAGTCCAGTGTCCAGCGCAGTGTTATTTCCCTGCACAAACACACCTGCCGAACCTGGCATTTATCATGACCTAGTTTTTCAAAAACATCAGTATTAAGATTATTTTAACTGGTAGAGTGTTCAGTGTGATGCTTGTTCACCATGCTTACCATTTAATAATCATCTTTATGCCAACATGCTTTTGGGAGACTCAGCCCAGATGAGTTGAATCAGGTGTGTTTGAGCAGGGAAATAACCAAACTGTGCTGGACACTGGCCCTCCAGGACCAATGTTTAGCATCCTAGAGGTGCACCGATATGGGAGTTCTGGGTCATTGCCGATAAGCAGTATTTTAATGTGCATATCTGCCGATATATAAGCATTTATAAATTGTAGAAATTGGGACTGAATCAACCTGGACTAGCATTACAGAGAAATACTGTATTATTTCTGTAGAGCTACAGATGCAGTTAAGTAAATGCAAATGCAAATTAATATACGTTTTTTGTGTCATCATTCATTGGTTTGAAATATTAGTCAAATCTAAACATTTGTCTGATGATTGCTGATTTTTTTGTTTTTTTTTAACAATCATCTGCTGATACTGATATGATTCTAATGTCATTGTGGATCCCTAAGATATCTCTGCTTGAAAACATCTAATCTGTCAGTTTGCCTTTTTGCAGTTTGAAATACAGGGGGTACGGCCTATGGAATCACAGCCATAGATAAGCAGAGGACTTTTCACCAGGCCCATCTAATTCCAGTTTCTTTTTTTATCACCATCGTCCCAGACCACACTATTCCTCCACTTCCTGTGGCAGGATAGAAGATGGAGTCAGCGCTGCTCCCTGAAGGCCCTGCACTGTGGGGCGCAGCCGCTCCTCTCCGGCCTATTTCCCAGCTTCCCTTTCCCTTTCCTGTTCGTAAATCTGTCCCATGTCCTGTCATTCCCCTGGAGAGCACACAGCCCAAAGACCATTCCCACAGGGTCCCGTCTGCTCACTCAGTGCTGGGGGTCGACTCGGATAAATTCAGAAACAGATTGAAAACTCACTAAATCTGGATGTATATGGATGCTTGTGGGTGGGCTGGATGCGTGAAGTCGCAATGGAGGACGCACTTCAAGGCTCCAACAAGGGTGGAAAAAAGGTGATTTTACAGCGGTAGATGGAGTCCAGTGAATGAAAAAGGTCAGGGTGTATTCAAGCCCAGGTCTAGAGCTGTCATGATTACGTGGTTAAAATATACCTTCTCAATAAATGAGCAGTAATTAGTGCTCAGTTAGCATTATGACTGTGCATAAATTATTACAGGTCTCTCTTACAGTAATACAGAAATTCAATGTTTACCATATATTTATATGCATTTTTTTTGTTTTTGCTACAGTGTGCATATATGGATGGGTGACAAATTAGAGGAAGACCCAACATGAAGTGTCTTAGTAAGGTGTTGGGCCACCACTGTAACCATACTACAGTATTCCTCTCCAAGTAGTTGTGGATGGACCATTCTTGAAGACATTGTCTGATCACGTCCTGCACTGACATTTGTAGAAAGTAGAGAAAAGGGGTGTGAGGCCACAGACTCTAGTACAGAATGATTCTCTTTCATTGCCTATGTGATTGATTTTTGTTCCTACTTTATAAAACACCCTGTCATAAGACCAGTCCAACCAGTTCAGCCAGCTTTTTTACAGCCTCTTCAAAAGAAGTTAGGAAACAACTCACTAGTCATCCTTTTCAAGCTGAAGCCCATTCATGGGCTAAATTTCACCATAAGCCAATTATTATGATCTTACTGATAGGAATAATCCTGAATTTCCTGAATTGCCTTAATCTGTGTCCAAAAACCAAGTGCTATTTTTAATTTGTCCCTTTGAAGTACAGCAAAAGGATCAGCAGCATGACGTGAACCATTAAGGCTTCAAACTGGTTTTTAATCCGTTAGTGTTTAAAAAACTCATTGTAAACTACTTCGTTGCCAAACTAGTCAGTCAGGTTTTACCATGTGCAAGTGCTATTCAATGAAAATGACAAAAGAAAAAAAAAAAAAAAAAAACTATGACTGTAGCCAGTCAGCCTGAAGCAACAAGCTGCCTTCATGAATCAAATGCAGCCTGGAATAAACTCTCATTTAAGCCAACAAACTGCACCGAACTCAGTGGTTTGAAGAAAGCATGGGCTAAGCATCGGTTTATTTGGTGCACACATTCCTCTGTGAAGCCCTTACCAGGAGGAAAAGAGAGACAGACCAGACCTCGCTGTGTGTACAGAGTGTATTTGAAAGAAGTTTGGTGATACACTGAGTGAAGTTGTTGGCAAGAGTCCATAAGAGCTCCTTCTGCTGGGGCGGGTGGGAGTCCAGGGAAGAGCTGGATTTTTCCATGGGATTCATCCATGTCAAAGCATTAGGAATGCAGACAGTGCCACCAATTCCCAAATGTCAACTTCCCAATTTTGTATACTTGATCACTCCACATTACTGCTTGCTGTTGGCACACAGAACCACAAAATGGCTTAACTGTGTGAAACTGTCTCAGGCTGACAAGATCCTGGAAGAGTCACACTACGAACACCTTTAAAAAATGACTATTAAAAATACAGCCTGCTTTGGCATATCCACGTGCCAAAAAATATACATTTTTGTTTTTTTGAATATACATTTTTACATTCCATTTGAGAAGTTTATGATTGCTCTCAAGTTTGAGCTGCCCTCTCCTTAATGATTACCATACAATTCATATATTTAAAATCACACATATGCATACCATACAGCAGATCCAAGATGCTAATATCCTAAAAATATAGTATAAAACTATAACTTACATTTTGTTTTCAATGATAGGAGTACATGTTTAAGCAGAAATTAAAAGTCTGAAAACCACCAAAGATGAAAAATTAAAAGCAATGTTCTTTCATCTTTTGTCCGCCTCTAAAGCTCAAGTTCATCCAACTGTATGTTCTTGGCCAAGGATCCTTCAAATCCAGTGAGAGGATACGAGAAAGACAGTTTGGCAGGCTATTTTGGTAGGTTTTCAGTACCTGACAGTTACTGTCTGGAAGCCCGTTATCTGTTAAGAACTTAAGGCATCACGGGGAGAAAAGACTAAATAAATACTTGGATCAAAAGATAGTGTTCTTAAGTGGGACAATTTGTGGGGGGGGATTGTCTGAGCTTCAAGTAAAAGCCACCTCTTGTGTAGTCTGAAGAAACTATAATTTAGTCTTGGTTGGATTCAATGACTCTCCTCCTGTGTGTTTCTGATAATAAGTACATTTTAGGGTTGAAAACGAGTGGAAAAGGAGACAAACTGTGTTCTTCTCTGAGAAGCCAGCAACAACGAAGGGAGAAGACTTCATCGAACCTGTTCAAGAGGTTAGCTTGTAAAAGTCCACTTACCAAAAATCCCAGTGCTCTGACAAAAAACAAGCCACAGTGGGCTTCACTAACTATTTTTGTCTGAATTAGAGTTGGTTTTACATTATCATTTTCAGCTGAGAAAAAACAACAATGCCAGTCCCTTCCATGGCACAGGTTAGAGCAGAGAGAGGAAAAGCACATTTTGTTTTGTAGCAAGTCCTCCACGAGAGAGTTGCTTGCTCTGGCAGTGGGTGTTGTGGTTGTTTAGTTTGGTTCACAGTATTGAACATGTATGGGCAAGGGCTGCGATGGTCAGAGGGAAGGACTAACACCAGTCAGCTATGTAGTCAAAGTCTGTGAAAAACTCTTGTTCACTGGCCGTTAGAACCCTTGGCTCACGGGGTGGGGTCAGTATTGGCGCCTCTGAGGTGAACTCGTCATCAAAGTTACTGACATCCTCGCGGCCTTTAATGGTTGGGACGAACGGAGGCTGAATCTTCTTTGCCAGCAGCGCCCCCCAGTCCACGTTCTGAAAGAGAACAACAGAAGTCATAAGAGGCACGTCTATGGAAACAAATACAGAGGGTAGAAACAATAATGCAAACACCAGTCAATATACACAGTTGCCAGCATAACAAGAGAAAACAATTCTGTGACAATTTTGGACCTTTTCTATTGGTCTATTCACCATGAAACGATGGGAAAAAAAATAGAGGGGATATGAACTATATCTGGTCTATTAGCAAGGAGTTTGACTGGCTTCAGAACAGCTTCAGTCCCTCTGAATGGCTGCTATTAACATTTTGAGCAGTTTAAGTTAAAAACAGCACCTTTTTTCAAGAGCAGGACCACTATCGTGCTACGCAGACTAAAGTAGCCAGTATGAGTTCACTGTTTCTAGTTGCCTTCTGAAAAGGATAAACAGATTTTGGAGTAATTTTATAAAAAAAAAACCCTTGTCAGGACAAATCATGCTCTCTTTTTCCATCTTTTTTTTGCCCAATCGCTGAATTGCTGCAACTGGTTTGTAGATGTCTTTATTGGTTGTATGAAATCTAATGATGTACAGTTTTTGGTTAGAGTAGAAAGGAACATTAAAAGGGCACTTTGCCTAAATCCAGCATTTAATGTTATCATGTTATGTAATATTTTGCAGCACAGCACTGCATCTCTCAGCCTCATTAGTTTGAAAGAATTCAGGATTTTGTAACCTATTTGTTTTCATCCATCAGTGTTCTCTCATTACAATACCCAGCATGCATTTGACAAATACATCATACAACCTCTGTGAATCCCCCACAACAATAAAGACTGACTATCAGACATGATATCAGCTTCCTAGCAGTAACATATCTACTGATAGAAGCTGTCCAGCTTCTTTCTGCATTGCCCAGCTTGGGGAAGGGGAAAAAAAACACCAAGATTCTCTCACCTTCAAGATATGTAATCTGAATGGAACTTTCCTAGTCTTTAAACTAGAAAATTTAACTCTAGAGTAGGGGTGTCAAACTCAACCAGTAAAAGGGCCATAGTAAAAAATCTCAACAAATCTACAGGCCAGAGAATGCCTCTCTTTTTTATTTAATTTTTAAATAGCATATTGCTATAACCTGAACTGGACATTGTTTATTCAAAATACAGCAAAATATAGGCACTTGTGGTAGAACTTGAAATAGTGCATGCAGTCCCCGACGAGGTAGGTCCTTTAAACCTACCTATGTGCTTGATCTAGTCACCTGGCATCTTTGCTGCAAGTTCATTCATTCTTGGGATGACTTACTGAGCTGCTGAGTCTATATGTTTATACTGGTGGAACTGCAGCTGAAACACTGGTGTGGTACAACTGAAATGTAAGCGCTGCCCCACAGATTACTGTTGGAGAAGTGGAGGTGGGAGTGTTCATTACATTGCAGCGCATGCTGAGGATTGTAGTGCAGGGCACTGTGAAACAGGCTAATATTAACAGAAAATTAAAAGAATTTCACGGACTGGATAGGATTGTGTCGCAGGCTTTGTTTTGGACATTTGGGTTCTAGAGACTACTGTGGCACTGCTGCACGAGGCTAGCAGACATGTTTATAACAGCTGCAGTAATCATTATTTTTTATTTTGTCTGGAGTGCTCCTTTGACATTCCTGGTAAGTAAACAGTGTTTTGATGTGACTTCTTTCTTGAAGTACATCAAGAAAGAATTTAAAAATTTTCCTTTTAAATTACATTATGACCAAAGTTTTGACCCCTTTTTCATCTCATGTTTCCACTACTTTGTCTGGCCTCTGCACCTCGGTGGTCAAATAAGAATCAGAGCATACTCTGAAAAACGGATGCTTCTTCACTTCTTCAGCGTCTCGCTCCCCTGCACCAAGGCGCCGCTCTGGATTTCTTCTCAATAGCTGCAGAGAGTGAACACAGTCCGAATGAACTCATGTTAAATGCATACATCGCCTTTTCTAAGAGCAATAAACAGGATTTATGTTATTTGGAACATACCCGTCTCATTATGGATATGGCCTCCGTGGAGAGGAATCTTGGATAACGAACTTCATCATTCACAATACTATCGAACACCTCTTCTTCATCATCACCTGGAAATGGGGACTGCAAGCCCACAGGAGCAGGTTTTATGACCATGTTGTCAGGAAAGTCATTCTGCTTTAATATGTTTATATCAGTAGCATAGCTGCTTGACTTTGCCCTGCTAAACAGTTTCATGGTGAATGTTCAACTTAAATGTTCACCTCTCCAACCAGCATCTCAAAGATGAGCACGCCCAGACCCCACCAGTCGACTGCTCGTGTGTATGAGGTTTCTGTCAGAACTTCAGGGGCCAGAAACTCTGGAGTGCCACAGAAGGTACTAGTGCGATCTCTGAAACCCATTCCTAAAAGGCAAACAGTAAGCTTAGCATCTTAATTCTTATTTTCTGCCTCACAACAATTAACCATACAACATAATAAGGATTATAAGAAGAACGTTATAAAAATACTATCCCACAAAAAACAAGCTTAAGAATAACCTGTATTAAATCAGTCAGTCATTCAGATGATATCAGGTTAAACTGAGCATGAATGGGTCATAGTACCCACTGTTGTGTAAACCAGGTGACTGTACACCTAGGTGATGTACAAAAGAACTCTTTGAAAAGCTAAAAAAATAAATGGAAATGTCAGAAAGCATTACTGAAAAGTAAATGGAAACCACTACCACCCTCACCATGACCTGCCTAGAACAATTCATTTTTCCAAACTGAATCACCAAGCAAGGAGTGGACTAATCAGAGAGGCCATCAGGAAGTCAAGAACAACTACAAGCTGCCTGAGGCCTTAACGCCCAGTTTTTCTCAGTGGCAAAAACTGAGGGTCCTGATGGCATAGAACCACAGAAGTATAGAAAAGTACTAAATAGGACAAAAATAATAAAATGTGACCAAAAAAAAAAAAAAATCATTTAAAAGAAATTCACTTCTCAGTATGTGAAAAGTCACTGCCACACAATCTACACATCTCTGGGTAGATCTTAGTTGTAGCCCATGCAAGAGCCAAATGACAAATAAATAAATGGCAAGTTGATAGAGACAGATCCTAAAATACCACAATACCATTACCACTGACATATTCATTTGTACTAAGTAACAGGGGGATTTCTTAGATCAAACGGATGGATAAGGTCTCACACTTTCTCTCAAGGTAAGATCAAGTATGTCCTGTTAAAGTGTGAGATATAAGTACTAATCAGACGTGATTAGTTTTCCATGGGGAGGTGGGGTAATGCCAATTTACCACAGCACAAGAAAAGAAGAAAAGAGCAGCTTACTTACCTTCTTTACAGAGACCAAAGTCAGCAATCTTTACATATCCTTCAGTATCCAGCAACAGGTTATCTAGCTTCAAGTCCCTGCAAGGGTTAAATTTGTAATCACATGGGAGGTTTATGAAACTCAGTATGAGGGCAAACACAAAAGTCACAAAGGTTTTGTTTTCTAAAACCGAAACTTACCTGTACACTATTTTATGCTCGTGCAGAAACTGCAGGCCCAAGACTACACATGCAGCATAGAAGCTGCAGTGGGGAGAAAAAGGAAAAGGAATGTGTGCATTAGCAAACACTTTTTATTACTTGGTAACTAAAAGGGTCTGAGAGTAAATGCGGTCACTCACACGGCTCGTGGCTCTGAGAACACATCAGCATGGATGTGCATCATCAGATCCCCTCCAGCAGCATACTCCATCACAAAGCACACATGCTCCTTGGTCTGGAAGCAGGCAAAAAGGTTCACCAGAAACGGGTGCCGAACACTGTTCACCGTCTCAAAGATCCTCTTCTCACACATAAGACTGTGGATGTCAGCAGGAAACGCACAGAGACTCATTGTTAGAGTGAAAAAACTGGTACACAGCAACAGACCATCCAACGTGAAAGAAACCATGTGATGCAACTACCAGCCATGCATCAACACTTGGAGAGAACTAATCAGTACAACAGTCACTAGTCTCTGTTCTGTTAATATGTAAAAGACATAGGATGTGGTCCAAAAACTCTCACAAAATCTTTTAATTTACTATTCCAGGCTTTACAAGGTGACTTGCACCAGCACACAAACACCATACTTGAGTGTGTTTTTTTTCATCCTGACTAAGTAATGCTACTTCTTTAAATTCAAACCAAATAAAACCTCAGTGCAGCCTTAATATATGGAAAATGTAAAAAAAAAAATCAATTATAGCTGGTTTAGATGAATTTTTGTGACAAAATCACAAAAGTTTTTACCACTGTACCAGAAAAGAGTGTCCTCCATATGCTGTTAGTACAGCATAGGAGCTGCTCTTCAGCAACCGCCCAATCAAGATCATTACACTGTAGTAAATTATTATTTTAAATATATTTTAGAACACTACAGAACTTGTGAGATTTGACTACTGAGATTTGAGTGTTGAGTTTATGCTCAAGGTGGCTGTTGGATGTAAGACATGAATCTAGCACAGCCAATGTGAACTGAAACAATGATTAAAATGGAAGCGTATCTGTTCTGTCTGACCAATGATTAAAATAAAAATAAAAAATAATTTTTTTTAAAGGTGATTAAAGGAGAGTATTTGAATACTCATTTGAAAATATAATTTTTTTGCCTTTGCTAAAAAACAGACTAGTATTTCATGTAAAAATACTGCCAAAAAATACCTGTTGCACTATGACCATCAGGCTCCATTCCTCATCATAAGATGGATCAGTATGAGAATTTAAAATACACACTGTAATCATGCAAACATCATAATCCTTGCCAATTCATTAAGAAGAATTAATCAATGATTTTTTTAAAATCAAGTAATCAGGTTCAATCGATTAATCGTGACAGCCCTTAAACATACAGATTATATTAAGTGCCGCTTTGTTTAGCTACCCTGCTAATTCTCCCTTGCCAAGACAATGCAGTCAAGTGTGTTCTGGAAGACGTCTGGCCAAAAAAGGCCCAGCTGTGCTAAGAAGTGTTTTTTCCTCAGGAGCATTTGCTGGCAGGAACTTTTTTGGGACTGTACAAGATCTGTCTCAAGGACACTTAGGCACAAGTAGCTGTGAAAATGTTTTACCTGTCGACTTCATCCCGAGCGACAATATCCCCTTTTTTCAAAGCTTTGATGGCAAACATTTCTCCAGTGCTCTTGTATTCAGCTAGTAAGACCTGTTGAATTATAGAGGAGACTAGACTGAGCCAATGAAACTGTAGCTAAATGACATCAAAACCCACAGTGACAGACAATGTGCAAAGAAACAAGGCTAGATTAATAGTTGTTCTCTCTGAATACTGTTCAGACATACTGCACTCGGTCAAACAATGTACAATCCTTTTACCAGTGTGTAAACACATCTTAACTGAGCATACCTTTCCAAAGTGTCCACGACCCAGAACTGCCACACACTTAAAGTCTTTGAGACTGAACTGGACCTCCTGCTCTTCCCTAAAAATAGATCAATATTAGATAAGCCGATTTCTCAAACTGACATGATTTGAAATTCTGTCTCCAGTTAGTTGAAAATCCCCCTCTTTAGTATGTGTATAGGAAATGGATGGGTACGACACCTTGTTTCAGTTTTCTGGATATTGGTGAGCTCCAGATCAGGCTGCTGAATCTCATCTTCTACCAGACTGTCATAGTCTGATTTGGTTACCGTACTGTTCCGACTGTCATTCAGGAAGTCAAAGGTGGCTAACGCATCCTGAGGATAAGAGGCACTTCAGAACAGGCCTACAGACTGTGCATCTCAGTTGACACCCCTCATCCCCCAAAAATACAGCAACTAATAGGTCAAACACATGATTATAGTTAAAGTAAATATGTACCACAGTTCAAATACTTAGAACAAGTAGAGTAGTAGCATAACATGGCATAGTCTAGTGCTGAGCGATGCTGAAAATATTCAGTACTAGTTTTTGACAAATTTATCATGGTATCAGGTGATATTTAAGTTTCCAAGTGTGTAATGAAGTTAATGAACATTATTCTAGAGTGCTGCTACTCTATGCTAAAAGTATGTCTTATAAATCTGATGTAGCTTATTTAGATTGGACTGTTCTGTTGTTCTTCCTTCTTACACAGACACAAACCACATTTCCAGAAAGGAAATGTACAATTCATGGAGTTTTAATGATCTTTGCACTGTTGTTTCAAAATAATCTTAAGCACCAAGCAAATGACACAAATTGCAGTTAACTAAGCTTCTGTTATCCATCATCCATCAGTACTACTAACACTGAAAAACAATACTGCTGCGTGACACCTTTATACCTTTATATCGTCCAGCACTAGTGTAATTAAATTTTATTTGCCTAAATGACTTCAGTACCTGCACTTCCTTTCCATCAGGGATTTTGTTCTGCGATGGTGGTTCCACTTCTAGTTCCACAGCATTAGAATGGCGGTTCGAAGGAGGAGTGGCCCCTTTGTCAAAGTCTAATTTGGTCACAGTCGGGTCACTAAAGGAAAGGGTCAAATCACAACACTGTTGACAACATTCCAATTTCCGTTTTAGCCCTGGACTATGGCCATGTTTGGGCCTGGACTCTTTCTAGTCAAACCAGACTCCTTACTGAAGGACTCTCATTAGAGCATTCATGTTCAGATAAAGTAAGGCACCTACAAGTCACATGTACTTCCAAACACTGAGTGAATGGTTACTATATTTAAATCAATACTAATTACTGAGATAGTTGGTTGGGCACTTTTTTCAAGACAGAGTGTAATTACTGTGACTCAGCAAATGAAGGTTATACTCCGTAGAGTAGGAGCATGTTTGGTTCCTGCTTGAATTTGTATGTTTTTTGAGAGCATGTATGTTTTTTTGAGGTTGAAACGTTGTCATTTGGTCATGAGCAAGAAAAAAGTCTTTGTGTTACTGTGTAGGTTTTGATGGCTCAGTTTCTTCACACTGCAACTTGGCCTGAAACCTGGCATTAAAATTGTATATTACTTAACTTTATTACTATTTTCCACTGTACGTTTCATACTATATATGATTAAGCATTAGACAAAGAGTGTTTCACCACTAAGACACCACAAAAGGAAACTTAGTGTGTGAACCTGCAATGAGATTTTATCAAGTAAGTAATCTCAGGTGGGGACCAGCAAAAACGTTTGCATAAATTAACAAGGGCTGGCACTGGGGTTCTGGTGGCAGCGTGTAGCATGTTCAGGCATTAAATACTATGTGGGAACTGACATGTCCACAATCCAGCCACAAACAGGTTCTTTCATAGCAACTGTTGCTACACTGTTAAAAATCACATTTAACCTAATAAGAAATTCTAATCAGGGTTGCTGCACAATTTTTAAAATTAAATTCTTTTAAAAAATCTTTTAAACAGGGGAAAAAAAAACCAAAACAGAAAATCCATTTTCACAACAGATCACTGCACACAAACTCAAATATAGCATGTTCTAATGCCTGTTTTATTCAGACCAACCGGCTGAAAAGCCCGGATATATGCTTTGAGACTGCATGTATTTGACTTGCCAGTTTTCCCGCCCCCAGCCCTTTATCAATGGTCAGTTTCTGACCACAGGACTGCTGTTGGTTGAATAGTCCTATTTGGTGGACTTTTCTGAATTAGTTTAATATATAAAACTATTCTTTGGGAACTATGGACTCATACTTGCATTTGAATTAGGCATGTCCTGATTCATCCCTTTCATCATAAGAGTTCTTTAATGTGGAGTATCAGCTGATCCTGAGTATGAAATGATCTTTGTGTTTTCATGGATAACACATTTTCATTCTTTACCTGAAAGTAGTTCCATAGTGTAAACATTCGAATTGAATAAACTTTATTTGTCCCTGAGGGACCAAATAAAGTTTATAGACGGTGTATAGCACTGTGCGTGTACCTGGACAGAGAGGGTGAGTCTGGGTGCGGCCCTGGTTCAGGGCTCAGTGCTGACCCCAACTCTGCCACAGGAGGACTGAAGGAGTTGTTGACGGACGGGATGGCTCTCCTTACCAAACGACCCCACGTGGCAATGTTTATGTTCATTTGAGGGGCGCGCAAAAATGTTTTGCCTGGAAGGAACAGAGAAGCAGCTTTACAGAAGCACATCATCACAAATCATATCACAAAAACGGCACATCTGCTTGCATACCTGACATTAATAGGCCAAAATTTGTCCCTTCTGAGAGGGAGAACAGGCCTCCTACACTGTGTCTAGGTCATCAACCAAATTGCTGGTTGCTTAAACTAATCTGTTTAAAGCACATAATAGTAAATTCATTCGTAAGGATTAACAAAGTGATGGAGCTTCGAAGACAAAGGACGACTCCTTAATAAGACAGGATACCCTGACCAAAGTCAGCTCTCTGACAGAGACATACTTTCAACTTACCTTGCTGTTTCGAGAAGATTTTTTTCTGCCTTTGTAGTTTTGGTCGCCTCTCAATAACTGGGTTGAAAAACGTAACCTGTATGAAGAGTAAATAAACAAATTAAGTAAGACAAAGAAGAAGAAGATGAAGACGAAGAAGTATTATTAGATAATAAAAATATAAATAAGAGAAAACAAAAAGACTAGACAAAATTAGCACGTAATGCCAACTGTGCCACATATAAGGTGTTTATGTCTGTGGATAAGTGGTGTTACAATTCATTTGCTTTCCTAATGTATCATAATATTCCTTCAGAAGCAACTGCATCGATCGTGAAAGAACCAAAAATACTGAATTGTTTACATCAGTCAAACATCGAATGTAAACGCTATGAAATGAATGGAACATGATACATTAACAAACACTTCTTAAACAAATACATGTGAAATTCTCTTCCAAGTGCCTCACAGTGCGAGTGGGTCAGGTAGCACAATCTAACACAAAGAAAGATATACAAACCACTGCTCACGCACTGCTGATCATAAATAAATCAAACAACATGTATCTACTTTTGTTTTAATTTTAGAATTTGATAAGTGGATGACTTGTTGATGCTCAGTACAATAGGTGGCTAATAATAACACTGAGTTGATACACATAGGAGGCAGTAAAGTTAGAAGTTAGTTTCTGCTCAACAGTGCCAGTCAGACACCTTTTTGCTTCAACTCAGTATGACTCAGTATGAGGTTTAACTACCCTGACAGTTCCTCTCTTTTTGGTTAGAAAGCATAAAATTGTACCTTTGACAGTAAAGAATGAGGCAGGACATGCTGCAGTGAATCCAAAGCTCTTTATTTGGAAAAATACTTGGTGCGCAAGCTATACTGAACTCAAGGTTACAAGTCCATCTCCAGAGATCTTGATGTTCCTTTGTCCACGGTGCCCAACATAATCAAGAAGTTTACAACCCATGGCACTGTAGCTAATCTCCCTGGATGTGGACGGAAGAGAAAAATTGATGAAAGGTTGCAACACAGGATAGTCCGGATGGTGGATAAGCTGCCCCAATCAAGTTCCAAAGAAATTCAAGCTGTCCTGCAGGCTCAGGGTGCATCAGTGTCAGCGCTCACTATCCGTCGACATTTGAATGAAATGAAACGCTATGGCAGGAAACCCAGGAGGACCCCACCGCTGACACAGAGACATAAAAAAGCTAGACTGCAGTTTGCCAAAATGTACATAAGTAAGCCAAAATCCTTCTGGGAAAACGTCTTGTGGACAGATGAGACCAAGATAGAGCTTTTTGGTAAAGCACATCATTCTACTGTTTACCGAAAACAGAATGAGGCCTACAAAGAAAAGAACACAGTACCTACAGTCAAATATGGTGGAGGTTCAAAGATGTTTTGGGGTTGTTTTGCTGCCTCTGGCACTGGGTGCCTTGACTGTGTGCAAGGCATCATGAAATCTGAAGATTACCAAAGGATTTTGGGTCGCAATGTAGGGCCCAGTGTCAGAAAGCTGGGTTTGCATGCTAGGTCATGGGTCTTCCAGCAGGACAATGACCCCAAACATACTTCAAAAAGCACCCAGAAATGAATGGAAACAAAGCACTGGAGAGTTCTGAAGTGGCCAGCAATGAGTCCGGATCTAAATCCCATTGAACACCTGTGGAGAGATCTTAAAATTGCTGTTGGGAGAAGGCACCCTTCAAATATGAGAGACCTTGAGCAGTTTGCAAAAGAAGAGTGGTCCAAAATTCCAGTTGAGAGGTGTAAGAAGCTTGTTGATGGTTATAGGAAGCGGTTGATTTCAGTTATTTTTTCCAAAGTGGTGTGCAACCAAATATTAAATTGAGGGTGCCAATAATTCTGTCCAGCCCATTTTTGGAGTTTTGCATGAAATTATATCATTTTTGGCTTTTTTTCTCGTTTTTTTTGTGTTGTTCCAATACACACAAAGGAAATAAACGTGTATAACAAAACGTGTAATTGCAATAATTTTCTGGGAGAAGTACTTCATTTCCTGGAAAAATGACTGTATATGCGCGTATGAGAAGGCAAATGTGACTACCTCCGCAAACAGCGTTCCTTGAGGCTCCAGGTAGAGGCACATGCCATGGCGCTGGTTGTCCAGGAAGTCCTCCAGCCGCAGGAACTTCACAGCACACAAAGAACGCCAGTCCCTCCAGTACACAGATATCTCCAACTCACGAGACTACAAACACAAAAGAGAACTTCTATTAAAACACAGCAGAAATAAATGCAACTGATGGAAACTGTGAGATGGAACGCAACTGATAATAAATAACGTACCAGTTTTGACGTGAAGGAAAAAAATATGGAAAAAAGAAAGGTAAGCAGCACAGGAAATCAAGGTTAGGCCAGACTATCTGGAAAAAAGCCTGCACATTTTTCACCTCTGTAGTTAACTATAAAATACATGCTTGAAGATCAGGAAAGCAGTCCAACACAGCTATTACTAACAACAAATCTGCTAATCCACCCATAAGCCTGACTTTCACAGGCAGGGTGAACTAACAGCAGCTTTAGTGCTGTCTGGCTGTTACATTCAGCCTTTCATTGCTCAACTACAGATTACTGCCCTCACGTTGCCTGCTGTGACATAACCAACAACACATCAGCCAATAATGTAATGAAACACACAAACTCATGTCAGAAAAACATCAATAAACACAAAGATGCCCCTGAAAATCACTATAAAAGCCATAAAGATGAGTTCTGATTATGTGTATGATGTTAGTACTGGAATCGCTTGAATGCACTCACTCAACTTGGCCCGTCTTATTCTTATCAGGCAGTCGTTAATAAATACATACACACAGTGGGTCAGTCACCTCGCAATTGTTGAAATTCCGTTCAGGATGGTTTATGTAAGTGTGACTAAACTATCGACACAACCACATCACAGAGCACAAAAGAGATTAAGGAAGAAGACCGAAGAGCCTAGCACAGGTTTTCATAAATACTGGGCCAAGTCTGGGATTAACATTCTTACACTTAATTGTGGTAGTTCTTGAGGTGGTGGGGGGTGACGCAAGGTGGAGAGCATGCAAGCGTCAGTGTGAAGGTGGGCATTTATTTGTGTTGAGGGGATTATCAGTTTTAAGCCTGTGTTTGTATGTGCGTGTGTGTGTCTGCGAGACAGAGTAATATTGCTCCATTTACCCGATCGAGCTCCAGTGTGAACTTCTGGTCCCAGGACTGATTGCTGACTGGCTTCCAGGTAGTTTGTCCCACAACTGTGTTGTCCAGTTTCAGAACAGCGCTGATCTCATCTGATGATGCAAAACACAAACACTACCTTTCAGTCTCAGCCATGAAGACAAACAAATGCATAGTGAATAAACAGCTGAGCAATATTTCAGTTAGATGTGAAGCTCTAGCTACAGTAGCCTTATGACTGAGGCAGGCAGAAATACAGATGATCACAAGAAAATGTGATTCCAAAATGCCTTCATTTAAATTCAGGACCTTGTTTGAACAGAGTCATGAATGGCTATGATTCAAAGTTCTCCAAGAATGTCAGTAATTTATCCCACATACATTTCAAACCAACAATTCAGCATCTTAGTTTGAAATGGAGAAACGGTGAAAAGCACTCAACTGGACAGCTCGTCTGCTTTGGAGAGGTTTTTGCTACTGCCCGGTCTGTTCTTGTTTGTTCGGCTCATGAAGGAGGAGCGTGTTTCGCTGGGGCTCCAGCCAGGCAGGGACACAGACGCTGCTTTAGACCGGCCCGGAACATTTTCCAGCAGGTCCTGACAGCCCATGAGTCTCACCTCTAACGTCCCTGTACACCATACATACACAGGGAAAAATCTCCATCAGAAATCTATGTAGCATAAAAGTATAAGCAAGCTATATATATATATATATATATATATATATATATATATATATATATATATATATATATATATATATATATATAATGTATATATTTCAGAATTACAATCAGCTGATTATATCTGATTATATTAAACGAAAGGGAGCATTAAAGATTATAAAAAAAAATAAATAAAAAAAAACAATGCTTCAGGTGTGCATTTTATTTCATCAGGACTGGCTTTTTTGATACGCCCTATCAGAATAAAGGAAAGGGCCGATTAAAGGGTTAAGAGTCATGTCTGTGCAGAACCGTGAAAACCTGACTGTGGTTGACACATTAGCTAAATATGTGTTCACCTTTGGCACCCACCCTGACAGTTACTATACCACTACAAGTTCTTTGGTAACTTGAGGACATGAACAAACTCTTACCTAGCAAATATTAATAATAGCAATAACAGCAATTGAACCTACAAACTCCCTCGTGGCTTATGAACACACAGACTCACTTATGCAAAAATGTTTTAAATAGCAACAGATTATGGAAAACATCAATAACATTATCTTTTCAAGACATATTTTTGTGTGTAACATCTGTCAAACTTAACAGAACATCCACCAGATTGGCTGTAGAGAAGTGTGAGTCAAGAGGATGAGTCATATGTCATGTTTACCGGTGAGAGCAGCAGGTTTGGCCACAGTGCTGTACTGGTTTTGTGAGGAGATGATGCTTTGCCGTGGGCTTTGAGGAGGAGAAGCAACCATGGCCAGCTCTTCTGAGATTACACTGGCCTTTGGATGGTTCTTAGGCAGCTCGCTTAGCCTCTGCTCCAGGGAGAACCTCAGCAGGTCCAGCTTCTGGCTAGATTCATTAAAGCGTGCCTGGGCCTAGACACAGAGAATTACACCATTATCAGCATCAGATACTGCAGAGCACCATATGTATGGATGCAACCTCTCATGCCTGATAATGATGTACTGTTTCAACCTAGCAAAGACTATATTATTTGTTGGATGTTTAGTTTGTTTTGCACTTGGAGATTAGTGGGAGTCTAAGCATAAATAAACACTGTGAAACCCAGAGCAAATTCAGGGATGAAAATGCAAATGAACACACTGCTCTCATAACTCATCTTGTTGGTCTGAGTAGATTTAGACATTGGCATCCTGATGAACCATCTTCAGCTTTCAGCAATCTATAAGCTTAAGTATATGTATACATATAATATGTATAATGACAAAGTTAATAAAGTTAACAAAGTTAAACAAAATATTGACTCTGCTTATGCTGAAAGATCTAAGACAAAGCTTCACTGTAAAGCACAGGAGTCTGAATGAGACATTACATGCTATATAAACAAGACCTAGGCCAGAGATGGTATAATGTCTGATGAACATTCCACACACAGCTGTGACACTGCTGCTAGCATCGCTAGACCTTCAGTAAGAATTCACACTGCCCTGTTACTAAACATTTTCTTTCATTACTGCAAGCCTGGATGGCAGTTCCTGGCCCATGTGCTTGTAATAGATTTAAATACCTCAATTAGCAGAATTCCATGAAGGCTTTGTTTCCTTTCTCGCATAAATAAAGCAAAGCACATGCTGGATTGTCATACGGAATACCGCTGGTGAACGGAACGCACCTCTGAATGGGCTTTCTTCTCAGTCACCTTCCCCGAACCCAGCAGCTTCATCACATTCTTGGCTCCCTCTGCCACAGCAGATTCAATCCTCAAGTGATGACGCAGCTCCTCCAGCCGCAAGTCCAGGGGACTGATAATGGACTTGTTTGTAGACACTGAAGGGTCAAAGTGTAATTACATTAACTACAGCTGTGTGCAATGTCAAAAGATGCCTCTTTACCTCCTATAAAACGCATCTCATCTATGTACATGAGAAACGAATAGCAAACACTTAACAGATCTCTGAAATTTTGGGGAGACACTTTGGAATGCATTATAATGAAAGTAGAGGCGTTCAAGGTGCACTGAAGGTACTACGTCTTTATGAGTCTTTTGGTGCACATGATTTACTGAATGCCACAGAAGTGAAACATGAGATTATTTGTCAAAATATCAAATTGAGTAAAACAAAATTGTGTTCAAAAGCAAACTCAAGTGTACACATTATACTGTCCCTACCATCATTATTGTCATAGGTCATCTCATTGGTCTGGCTAGCTTTAAGGATCTGCATCCTGATGAACTCTATTTTTGTCTTGCTGTCCTGGAGCATTTGCTGGGCCATGGCAAGCAGCTTGCGATCCTGCACACAGCAAAACAAGAGGAAAGTACAACATCATAAAGCATTCGGAAAGACGGCTTTAATGTCTCTGACTGTGTGTTTACATGCTAGACCTGGAACACAAGCAATTCATTTTCTGCATCCAGTGCCTGTGGAACTTTAGACTACAATAGACTCATCCTGTTGCAAACTGCTTGTCCAGAGCAAGGCTATGTTCTTTGCAACACATTGTTTACTTTTGGGGTCAGCTGTTTGACTGGCTCTTATTTTGTTGCTCAGTTGTAAATGATCACATTGCTAACTGTTTATTTCTCACAATATACAGTCCAGAGCATGTAAATATGTCAGAGCCCTCTGAAGGGCTGGACTTCCTCTAGACAGCCATTAAATGCTGACGTCACCTCAGAGGCCTTTCCTGCAGGAAGTGCTTTCCACTTCCACGGGAAGTTCACAGCAGCTGGGAACCTGCATGCAGGCTCCAGCATGTCACAGGCCCCGATTTAAATGCAACACTACAAGCAAAAAAAGTTACTTCAACTCATTGAAGCATGTTTTGTAAACAGATCACAGACAAAGGCGGTCAAAGGTTAGAATATCAAATATCATTTTTCTTTACTTGGCATTTTTGTTTACAAGGGCAGCTACAAGGGAATTCCTTCATATCATTCAGCAGGCATTATTATGTTCAGCAAAACCCATTTACAACAGTTTCTATACCGGGGTGCCCAAACTTTTTGGCTTAGGGGATCAGAAGGCAATATACAAACAAAGAAGGTAGGTAGGTTTTTAAAAATGTTTTTTTGTAACTAAAATAATAATGATTACTTAAAAAAAACTACATGCAAAAGTTATACATAGTAGGGATAAACTGATTCAGATTTTTACAGCCAAACTGACCAATGTTGACTTTGTAGGCTGATTTTAATCAGCCTTTTTCTCCCTTAAAAATGACTAAATGAACACAGCAGCACATTTCCAGTACTTCAGTGGTCAGTAATCAGACAAAATTGCAATATAAACAACACTATTTGCTCTTTAACAGGGCAAACCAGCATATTAAATTCTTACATGAAATCAGTGGCTAAATAACATGAATCAAATAAAGAGCTACATTGAAAGTAAGAGGCAACTGGCTATTTATCGTAATAAGTTATGCATAATTATGCTATGACATTTTTGTACAGGTGTAGCAGACGCATTCCAATACAGTGCAGGTACATGACTCATGTTATTTTTAGGGATGCAAGCTCAGAATCAACAGATTTTTTTTTTTAAACATAAAATCGGCAAACAGCCAATTTATTGTTTTTATTTTGGCAGATCTGTGTTGCAATTTTGTGACGCAAATAATGAGTCAGGTACGTGCACTTGCCCTGTTTCTGAATGCTACTGCTACACCTATACCAAAATGTCACAGCATAATTATGCATGATTCATTGTGCCAAACAGCCAGTTGGCTCTTACTTTTGATGTAGGTCTTTACTTCACATTAGGAGGCAACTGATCTAAAATAAACATGTTTTAAAATGCCAGTTTAAAGAACAAATAATTGTGTTTATTTTGCAAGTTTGGCTAATCAAAAGGAAAGGAAATGTGCTAGAGTATTTCATGTGTTCATTTAAGCCACACAGTGTTCAGATTTTTAAAAAAGCCTTCTAAAAGGCTTGGCCAATGTGGCTATAAAGAAATCAGAATCTGAATTGGCCATTAAAATTCACGCTCAATGCATCCCTAGTCCTTTACATAGATTGGCCAGAATCATAATAATCCTTCACTTTCAATGATGCATCCCTATTATATAGTGTGGAAATGTTCGTTCTCTCATTGGGTGACAGGGTGAGTTTAGGGTAACTTTCTGGGAGGCCACACTTTGGGCAGCCCTGCTCTATACAGACAACAGGGTTTGATAATGTCTAGATTGTCTGTATAGGTAACAGGGCTGGGCGATAAAATGATATTGATAATTATCGCGATATAACTTTTCCTCGATAGAGCGATACGACATGTTCGATAAATGTTCGATATAATACCCCATTCTCACACTTCCACGTTCTAGCGAAAGCCTTGGTGGCGTTTTCTACTGCAAGGTAAGCGACACTACTCTGCTGTCGCCAGGAGAGGGCGCACTTCCGAGTTTTTCTACATGATTAGAGAGGGAGGGGGCCACGTGTAAGATGAGTCTTTAGCAACGGCTGAAACGCGGAGTTATACATTCCGTTTGAGTGGAGCGACCGGCGATCTGTTCTCCTGTGACCGAGTGTGAGTGACGAGGTCAGTGGTGTAACTATACTGTCCAACAGTGAACTCACCTCTTTCCTAACATCCTAACCAGCTTTAGCAGCGTTAAATCACAATCATTATCCTCACAACTAAAGCGCTGTTACAGCGCTTGGACAGTCATGTTTAAGTATTAGTGCATTCCCAAGCAACGAAAGTGAAAGAAAGAAGTGGGTTCATGTAAATTACAGCCCTGATTTAAATGAAAGTAAACTAAGGAAGCTGTGAGGCACTGGAAAGTGGGAGAGCGCTATCTTTCCAGGCTAGCTGTTTTTAGCAGCTGGCTAACTTGAAGCAGCGCTCCGTCAATCGCACAACACGGCGAACTGATGATGCTGTAGATCAAACACGACACAAAAGCACCGCTTTCAGTTTAAACATACCTAAAAAGAGGACTCTGTCTGTCTGTTGTTAGATATTTTGCGGTTCACCACTTAAACTACCACGATAGTATAGAGAAATCCAGTCGTCGCTAGCTGGTGTCTGAATACTGTGATGTCATTTGTAGCGGGGTAGCCGAGCGCTCGTCACCAGCTAAAAATAATCTGTTTTCTTTCTTAAATTATGACTATTACAAAATAGCCATGCTTTTCCAGAAACTTTCTCCCACTCTCCCATGACAGATTTGTGAAATGTTCCACTGTTTGCCGAGTGTTTGTCATGTTCCGACCATAAAGGATAGTTTAAAACAGCAACTGACCACTCAGGAGCAAAAATCAGCCTTCAAACTTGAAAGAAATAATGATTTGACATTTATCGCGGTATGTATCGATATCGAACGATATGAATTTTGTTTATCGTGATAACATTTTTGGCCATATCACCCAGCTCTAGTAACAGTTTTTTTAAGGAAATACCCTATACAGAGAATGCACTGCCACTAACAACACAAAAAGACAATATAGAGGGAAATATAAGAACTGTGAAAATATGTCCAGACAGTAATAAACAAGCACTAACAGTAAAGTGAAGCTAATGAGAAACAATCAAGACATAAACCTCCAGAAAAAAAACAAAGCATTAACACTGGTATTTGAGGAGAGAAAAGAAAAACTCTTATAAATACAACACAGGCATACATTCGCATGCACAAAGAGTGACCATTCCACAAAATTTTTCAAAGCCCCATGCACTGCACCAGGTGGTGGGTGTGTTCTTGCTTGGGTTGGCATGTGAAAGGCCCAGTACACCAGAGAAAGCACTCTCTAACAATGCTTTCATGAAATGTATTGTTTATGAAATGTAATGTTTTTCTTTCGTCCAAAGAACATACGTAGGTGAATCCTCAGTCTACACAAAAAGTAGAATTTGGAAAAGCCCAAATATATGTGCATAATAACACACGGCAAAGCCCACTAATCCTGAAACAAGACCTGGACATTGCTCTACTCTAAATCTCTAATGTCAGCTGCTCCCATGAAGTAATAACCACTACACGTAGTACACATGTAGCCCATGAGCTGGTCTGGTCAGTTTCCATTCATCTTACATTTTGAAGTCATTTTACTGACCATTATTGGATGTTTTGCGCACATCTGTTTTCATTTCATAAGATGGAACTTACACGTAACCTCGCTCAGAGATCAAAGACTTCATCATCTCTGAGACAGCACTGGAGTAAGAAGGATTCTTACCGATTTAGTCTCACTATTTTTAACAATGTCTTTGTACTGCAGCTTCAGGGTTTTGGCCTAAAATGGCAGTTAAGTGATACTTCACACTCAGCATTCAAGACCATTAAGACACGTGCACTTCATCATTCTGACACACAGACTGAGAGGGATTCAGAAGCAGACTACCTTGTACGAGCCGTTGGAGTACATCTGTATCATGTTCTCCGCTCCCTGTTTGACTTTGAGCTCAATGTCATTCTGTTTCTTCAGTGCAGCCAGGCGGCTGCTGTTGGTGCATGCCCGAGCCTCGCTGCTGGGGGTGTCTGGGGTTAGAGGGCACTCGGAAACTGAAACACAAACAAAACAAACCTTTATCACATCATCAAACAAAAGATGATCTTGTAAGTCTTTTCAAAGGCTTCCTACTTTTTCTTTTACCAGCAGAAGATTTAAAAATCTCTTGAAAGGCTTTGCATGGAAGGCAATGCATTGAAAACTCTGATTACATGACTGTCAATTACGTGCATTTTATTACATATGGGACAGCATTTCAAAAAACCAAGCAACATACACAGGGGAACCATCGGCTGGATGTCCAGACACCGGTGAAGCTCAGCATTAGACTACAAAGCATTTATAAATGGAAAATCCCCAATGACAGCACAATTTGGCTTAACTGGAAAACTGGTTGATGCAGAGTTAATTATGCAAGAAGGCTGGGCAGCATATACAAAAGCAACACAATTCCTCTGAAGAGATTAGAGAACTTGGTGAAGTGCGTGACTCCAACAGAGAAACAAAGGTCACCAAGATTACAGACGGGATAGACCGTTCTAAATAGTTTATTTCCTATGTTGACTGCTGATTCTTGATCAGGGTTTTCCATGCCCGTGTCTTATCCAGTAACGTGCGAAAGGGGACAAGGTAGTTGGGGACGAGCTCGAAACTTGGGCATTTTAAGGTTTTCTCTTTTCCAAAAGATTAAAAAATATTGTGAATTCTTGCAGAAAAAATAAAAAGAACATCAGGAATACCAAACCAATTCAGGCCACAGCTCCTCAGTGTTTTATTCTACTAAGGCCTCTTTCACACATTCTGCCTCACTGAATCTAGAGAATTTTTCCTGTATCCCACACATGCCATGCATTAAAACAGTAAATTAAGCAATGATAATAAATAAAACAAAAAAAGTGTCAAAATGTGAGTTCTATTAACGGCCACTGTCAAATGCAAGATTAAACAAACTTTCATGCTACATACACATTTTTTAAGTGACTTGATATGACTGTCCATTTGAAAAAGTCAGTAAGAGACCTGAACAGAGTTGTAACTATTTATCCATCTTTCATTTAAAACTTGTTGCGCTGTATCACTCCAAAGTGCAAAATCTTTATATAGGAACTGTGAACACATGCAAGCTGTAGCAGTCATGCTGCTGCATCGTTCATGTCACATAGGTAATGTGCGTGAACCAGGCCTTACACTCTTAATTCAACTCATGAAGGCCTTGCTAATCAGCTGATGCGTTCAATCAGGTGTGTTTTAATGGGCAGAATGCTAAACTCTGCAGTGCTGTGGTCTGCCAGGGCTGACGTCTGATGAGTGGTTTAGGGCATCTCATTTCGACAGGCCAATTTGTGAGCTGTTGTTTACCTTCAAGCAAATCGCAATGCCTCACTAAAGAACCTAATGAAGTATTACTCATTTTTTTTTTTTAAATGGGATTCACTTGCAATGGGGATTTCCTTCTGACTCATACAGACCGCTATTTTGAAATGTGGAATAAACAGAACCAATTGTGATATGGAAGACAGACAAGACTTGTGCAGACATGTAAATACTCTCTGGTAGTAACGTGAGCTGCGATGTAGGAAAAAGGCCTCTCTGTGAGAACGGCCTGGGTTCCTCAGAGTGGGTAAATAACAGCATCGGAACACTTCAGGGGACAAAATAAACTGAAGGAATGACAGGTACTAGCCGTTTTTCCTTAAGTTTTCCTGACAACACCTTGACTTTTGCTGACGACAGGCTGGAAAATATGAGATTAAAGTTGGAGAATACAAAAACCTACTGCAAAACGTTAAATGTACAGAGGCATGCCTATAATTCACTGCCCTTTGAAACACTTTATGAAATGAGTGAGAGCATGGGACAAAAACAAATGACTAGCAAATTTTCTCACTGGATTCCAGCTCAAACAACCACACACACATAAAACTGAAGTTCAGAGCGATGAGATCATACTCTCATGCCAAGACATGAGCGCATAACCACGTATACACCTGCAAAGGTAACATCAACGTTCTATTTTTGTATGCCTTTCTACTGCATGCAGACACACACAAACACAGAGCCTAAAATACAGAGGGCCTAAGGATTAAGGTTTTCAAACATTTTAAACCATAACTCCTCTAGTGCTGGAGATTTCATGAAAAAGTGATTCTCAAAAACCTAATGTGAGGTGAAATCAAAGTTTTTTTTTTAAGTAGATAAACAAGTTCTTTTGTCCACTTCTTTTGGATATTTCATGAGATACACCCTGAAGATTCTTTTTGTACCATTAAAGCAACTTCTTTCATCATAAGTGTTTTCCTGTTACTGGGTTGTGTGCATGAGTCACAGAATGCACATAACAATGTATTTCTTGGTGTCCACATAAACAATTCACAGCAGACTAGCCAGGTTACAGTGCAGCCTCCACATAACGAGGTTTGTTTTAACACTGTTACAATCTCAGAAAGTAAATAATTAGAGCAGGCCATACTCACATCATACAAATTAAAAACATTTACAAATACATCAAAAACATTCTATAGATGTCATGTAAATAAAAACAACATGTTTCTGATTAATTGTTAACTGGCAAGCTCAAAAATCAAGAAAGCAATTCATTTAAACATCAATGACAAAACAGATAGTTCATGCTCTGGCGGGCCACATTCATTATCTGTCTTATTGCTTGTGGATTGTTGCTTGCATTGTGGATGAGGTACATCACTGTTGTTGTCTCATCATCTTCATGAGAAGTATTAGGTGTATTACGTGGAACCAATTGCACCCTCATGTGTATAATTTTTAAAAATGCTCCTCAACCTGAATGATAAACCTGCATAATCAAATAGGAACTGTCGTTTACTGGAACTTAAATACAATGTTTATTTGTTGTTAAATGGGTAATTGTTTACGTTCCTAAATTCATGTAAATAAAATAGATTTCAATTATATCAAGCTGATATTTGCTGGTCTCTTTTCACTAGTCATATTTATTTTGATGCATATAATTTTATGTAAATAGGTTGGAAAGGTATTTCCACTCACTTCATTTCCAGCTGAATTGTTTACAAATATTAGATGCAAGACACAGAGATTACACTCTCATTTGCAGCAGTGACATGCAAGCTGCTTGTATTAAGGAAACTGACTGTTGCTCAAATGTGGCCCACTTTTTTGCAACAACCATCTCATACACCTAGTGGTGTTGATTAAAGAACAAACACAGCATTTAAGGGATCTACACATCTATGGAAGAAATATGTACGAGTTGCACTACTAACCAAACAAGCTCTGAAGCCAATGAGAGAAGGAAACTATTACTGTTGTGCAACGTAGTTCTGTGTGCCAACCGATTTAGACATTCCTGTTTGAGTCTTGCAGATAATCAGAAACCACAGATTCTCACAGCCTGACAACTCAAAGGTGTTTTGGCCCTGTGTTTTATGAGTAGTTCATGATGTGTAGTGCACAACAGGCCAAATAGCAACTGTACCAGGTACTGACTGGCTCTTTCATTTATGCCTTGTGCTTTCTTTTCGTTGAGGTATTTATGACCAACGGACACACACACCTTTATGTTCACAAGAAATTCACAGATTAGTGCATCAGTAGTTTAGTTAAACTGATATCATATCAACTGTAAATTAACTGACTGAAACTTTAGAATCTGAACCACTTAAGCCAGGCACTACACAGTTTTTAACCCGATTTTCACTTCTCACAAATTATCACCACCTGAAGCGATTCTGCAGGTTGGAAGCTCAATTAGGGTTAGGAAGCGAATGACGGCACAGATGTTTTGGTGGTGCGAGAAGGGAAATAAATCTTCAGTTTTCCAATCAAGCTCTGAAGTTATTAAAGGACTTTCGATGTGTTCAAACATTTGATTTCTACAACTCAAAATGGTCTGTAGTGTGAGATGGTCAATGACAATTTAACAAGATACAGGCAAAAGCCAATGAGAGAGCTAGGAAAGTGGAGGAAGAGGCAAGATGACATATGCTTTGTGATGGAGGAGCTGCTTGCAATACCAGCAAATTTGCATGTGCTACTATAATGTTAGTGCCTTAATTACTAGACCTACAAGAAATTCACTCTACAATTTCATGTCAGCTTGTCAGTTCGTAGAACAATGCTTCTCTAGCTCTCTGGAGAACAGAATAATATCTGTTTCCCAACCTCATATTCATCCAGAAGTTGTGTTTTTGCTGCATAGTGCACAAAAAAGACAAACAAGTCTGATCCTATTTCATCTGGGATTTTTAGCACTTCATAGCCAAAACTCCATATGAGCATTACACACTCTCTGCCTCAACGTCAAGTCAGTCTCGCGTCAGACAAATAGACAATAAGTTCTGTTCCCCGTTTTTGCAACCTGTTACGAAGTGTGCAGTGTATGCTTGGTTTTATTAGGACTAAGAGTCATATTACCGAAAACAATTTTACTAATTCTGCCACAGTCCCAATTACAAAACAAGCTTTCTTCATTAATTGTTATGTGCCCGTCCTATTCATGTAAAAAAAAATAAAAAATACATTAAACTACAGTATGACCCATTCCTATACAGAAGAAGCTGGTTTTAAACACACAACAGCTGCCAAAATAATGTATTCAAGATACTGAGTGGCATGTTTTAGTATTATTTACATATTTTCAGTTTAACATCTTTGAGCATCATTTGGTCTGCCCTTATCCATCTGGAACATGGCTGGAACACAACCTGACCAACAGAGATAGTAAACAAGACTTATCTTTACTGTGACAGGAAATATGTAAACTAAATATAGAATGTCTACAAAGCGTAATTGTGGGGATTAGAGTTGCTTGGCTGAAAATGACTACATGCAGTACAGCATGATCTTCAAGAACAATCTCAAAAATCTAAACACTTTAAATTTCCTTCCTGTAATCTACAGAGCATGTAAAAGAAAAAAGAAAATGAAACCAACAACAAACTATGGCATGTCTGAAATCTCTCTGACGAGCAGAGTGCTTATAGGCTCAAGATTCCACAGGTACAAGAGATTAGGGGTCTGTTTCCAGAGTCAGCCAAAAGAGAGATATTTCTTCTCACGTAACAGGTTACCATGTTAGCATGTGGGCGAGAGCCATAGTTAAACATGAATGAACAGAAGAAAAACAAACATAACACTGAGTCACATGTGAAGATGTCAGCTAATTTGCATACTGCCATCATTTCCCAACTAGCTCAGCTGGTAAATATTGTGCAACTAGTGATACTGCTACACCTTAGAAACGAAGAGAACGTTCATGATTGCTATCTGGGCAAATGAAACTGGTGACTGTAAACGGCAACTGTAAAATGATGAATAAATAAGTAAAGGTATCACTTTAATTTCTCATTGACACTGCAGTCTTAATCCCTGTGTCATTAATGATACTTGTGCAAGGCTGTGTGTACTGAAGGAGCTTCCCATACCGTTGCACACAAATATCTTATTTTTCCCACTATAATTGCATTGCTGCTAGGTGAGTAAATGTCCTCCATTTGATCGTGCCTCATAATGATTCAATTCAACTACAAAAGAGCATTATCAACAATCAATATTCTTGTAATCGATTATAAGCAAATATAACATTCCAAAATCAATGCAATTGTATATCTGATCATTTATATTGATGGAATTCATAAAGGGTTGTTGTGACTGACACCAGTAAAAGTCTGGGCTAGAGAGACACTTCCTACCCTAATCCCTCCATCTCTCTAATCCCACTCTCAATCCTGGCCCCTTAAACACAGTCTGAAAGCAGGCTGGACTCTACTGTCCGCCTGACTTGTCCAAATAACAGTAGTAAAATTCAGATCACCACTTTTCAAAGAAAATGGATTAAATAAACCAGCATGCGGTGATGGACTGGTCCAATATACAGGATCGGTACTGAGCCTTTCACGATTTGAACATAAAATACGCTGTTTGAAAAAGCAGTTGATTATCGTGATGACGATATAAGAAATGTTCAAGTGTTTTTGGATATTCCCACCATTCTAATGAATCTCTCCCCTAGATACAGTCACACACACAGCCACTCCCTTTATCTATCCAAGTGAGGTTCTAAGATATCGTGTTGTATCGTCATCATAATTAAACTAACTGTGAGAATTTCTGTGCAGTGCTGCAAGTTTTCAAAGGAACAGCTGTGGCCAGTAGATATCATTTACAAGCGAGGTAGAATAATTTCAATTATTTAAAATGCAATAACACCTTACACTGTATTTTAGCATCACAACATGCAACGTTTACAGTTTTCTTTCAAGTCATTAAAGTACATACTAGTTCTCAGAGACGCTTGTTCGAGGAGTCTTAAAATTTTGAATGGAAGCTAATCATAATCTGGAGAATGTGCTTCTACCATAATTTAACTGAGACAAAATTATATGACTGTGAATTCAAGACACTTCTCCCAAAGTCCTTTAGGGATCAGTACTAAAAACAGACATCCTTCTGCCCTTCAAAGCACAATATTTAGAATAAATAATGGAACTGAATGAGATGCAACAGTGGACCACAATACCAAGTTCTTGATAGTGAATCACAAACATCCGCTTACACACTAAGTGGTTTAAGCTAAAACCAAAGCAGAATTACTAAAGAGGCTAAAGAAGAGAGTGAGTCGTACCTAGAAGCTCTTCTGGGTCCTTCACTACGATGTGGGCATTCAGTTCCTGCAGCTCCTGGTGCAGCTCCTCCACCTTCTTGCTGGACTTTTTTAGCATGTTGTCCACGTAGGCCAGGCTCTTCTTGTCTGTGGTGACTTTCCGCAGGTTCTCCGCTCCTTCCTTAATCTTCAGCTCTTTACGGATCTCGCGTTTAATCTGATCCTTGATCTCATCTAGCTTCTGCTGGACCATGGTGTCCGACAAGTCCAAGTTGTGGCCCAGTCCCAAACGGTCTGACACCATATGGGCTCGAGCATCACCCTGAAGGATGAGAAAGAGAGAGAAGATTAGAGAATGTTTAAAATGTACTGTGACTGCCACTGGGCAATATATTGTCTATACCAGTATAATGATATTGGCATCATACTAGTATACTGATTTTTAGTTTCAGCAGTATTGAAAAAAATCTTAAATGTTAACTGCAAACACAACTGGAACTTTAGCAATACCATCCAGAACTAAATGTGACATTAAAATACCACGCCATTCAAAAATCAATGAGCCATTGCATCCGTCTCAATCTTTAATACCCTCTTATATGGGCACATTTCACTCTCTACACAGGCGTGTGTGGCGTCCGATTGTGTTTATTATGTAATGGCATAAAGTACAAGCTAAGCCCTTCATGGTGTTCACTGGGAAAGCACAAAAGCCTGGCACGGTTACACATTAACCAAAGACAGGTAACAAACACAAAACCTCAACAAATGCCACATAGATGGACAAGACAGTGAAATGTTGACACATCATATGAAAGCTTCACAAAGACAGAGACACTACAAATACAAAGATTGCATCCCAACATGAGATGAAATACAAAACTTGACACTAATATTTACAAAGAGCCAAAAAACACAACAAATCCACCCCATCATAAACAATAACTGCTCTGTAAGATGACAATTTTGTTATCATGGAAGGCTTGGCAGTGTTTAAGGCAAGCCCAGACATATTTTAAAAAACAGCTCTCTAATCACTCCAGCATCAGGCTGCCTTTACAGTATGGCCAGAATATCATATTGTGATTGCACAGCTTATTACAGCTTGATTGATTGACATGACTTAAAGGAACAGTCCAGCTTTTCTTAGCCTAATCTCTACCGTGCAATGCAATCTCAGCATCTGTCCATTGGCTTCTATCATGCGTTGACTGTTTCGAGTCAACATATTGAATTTCTTTTTGAGGGGCAACTGGCTGTTTGCTACAGATGTGGCAGATGGAGATTAGGTTAAATGCTAGAGTATTCAGTTCCAGGTCCTAAAGCTGAAAATCAAAACTTTCACAGCCGTTAGATTAGGTGAAAGCAGATTTGCTAGACCACCCACAGACTTTATCAGGAAGACAGATACAGCACATTTGCTAAAAACTCATTAATTAAGAGCTTTTGCCAAGTGGCATTCTAATCACTAGGAAGGGTGCTTTTTGATGCTGTGAAAAAATAAGTTTAATCACTTGTGATGTACTACAGATGTCAAGACTAGATTGTTTTTTGGGAATGTATAGTGATTTTTCTGACCACTGTGATTATTTTCTACAAATTAAGCCAAGCCTGTATCAGAAGTCTACATTAAATGAAATGATGAGCTCGTTGTTACTGGACTACATCTCCACCCTTAAAACTTAGGATCATGCTGTTGATCCTAAGTTTGTAAGGGTGTAATTAAAATCGCAGCTGTTACTGTTTGAAAACCACACTTTTTCAAATTGTGGTTACAATTTAAAAAACAATCATCGTTCCATTCTGGTCAAGACTAAAAATATGAACACACAATATTTTATAAACCCTGTAAAACCCTGTCTTTACAGAAGTAAAGCCTTGCTAGACTAGACTGCTTACTCTTTTACTCTTTTGTCAGGCAAAGATCACACGAACATATGGTTCCCTTGAACTGAAAGTACCCCACAAGCCTAACATATGAAGAGACCCTTTTAAAGCCTCTCTGTTGTTGATTTATATCCGAACTGCAAACACTGGGTCTTCCATTCACTAGCTATGCTATCAGCAGGGTGGGGTGAGCGCACACAGGCCGCCAACTGAGGAGTGTAACTGCTACAAATCAGCCAGGCAGAGCCACACAAAGCCCAAAACCCCATGCGAAGCCATATGATTTAAACTGGAAGCACCTTAAAATAGTGTCATGTAAAGATTGTGGTAAGAGAGGAATTCTGCATGCTGCCATTTTTTTAACAATCCATAAGATTAGTAGTAAAAAAGTTGGTGTTCGTACCCCACTTCCAAGGATAGTCAATACAACAACCCAAGAACAGCCTAGCCTGTAAGAAGTGCACTTACAAATAAAGCAGGGAGCACAAAACAACTATAATAACTATAATAAGTGCAGAGTATTCAACTGCAAAAAACGGAAATAACAGAGTATTTCTTACCAAGACCTCCACCATTGCTTCAGTACACAAGGATCCCAGCATTTTCAAAGGATCTTCTCAGTTCCACAAAAACAGCTTATCAGCCGAGTCTTAAAGAACCAGAGACAGAGCAAAACATGCAGACATCCCCACTCGAACAGTAGGAGTCCTGCTCTAATCTGTGTGGTGCTCTAACTGAGGCAGGCCTGTGGAAATCAGAATAGAATCTAAGCTAGCCTTGGCAGAAACAGGTCCTGTTAAGCCTGGCGTGGGATAAGCTTGTGGTTAAGTGCAGGTGACGGCCACTCTGGTTGGGAGATCCTAAAATAACAAAGGCACAGCAAGGCCTCAGACAGGCTGCAATCCACACTACCAAGTCACCTCTGCTAATCCAAACACTCAGTGCAACACATAACCAATGAACGACAGCAACAGAAACACAAGGAAGACAAGAACAGCAGTTATACTGCATGCGGTGCTTCCGTTTCCACTAATACCTTAGAGATGAGGTCATATAACTATATTGAATCTGCTTCCTCTTGGTAGGTGAAAGCAATTCATTCTAAAGGGTGTTAAAATGCCATTATACATCACTTTGAAGCTGGCAATTACTTAACTACATTCATTCTGGGATGTTAGAATCAATCACAGCAATAAACAACAAAGTATGTTCTCATTTTTGGCCCCCAAAAAATTTTTGGCCTTTTCAAATATAAAGATCCTCCCCTAAAAGCTTGGTGTAATCACTTTATTGTTTGTATTACACGACTATGTTCTAACAGTCATTTGTGTGTGTGTGAAATTACTTTTTGTGTTTATGTGCGAGTCCATATTTATGGTACCTTCCGAGTCAGATACTATACTGAGAAACCTAGTTAGAATTCAGTAGCTGTTGGTGTAAATGTGCAATATATCTTAAAAATTTAATCATTAAAATCGAGCTGATTTTAAATGAAGTGCCTTAGCAAGCTATGCTACATTAGATACCTTGGAGAACAGCGGGCAGAAAAGCGCTTCTGTACAGCTATAAGTAAAGTACAAGTCATTTTGCTCCGCACATCTCTCTTTCAACAACAGTCTCTGTAGTACAGCGACAGCAGGAATCATTTCTGAGGCTATTGCATCTGACGAGCTTACGTTTCGAGGTTGTACATCTTGTTGCGAGTATTCTGTTTGGCTGGTTGAGCTGTAGCTGAATGTCCACTAAAGCCAGACAGACACTGTGTGATTTCAGAAATCTTGTGACTCGCACTGTACCTTTGAAAAGACCATTGTGTACAAACAAAGCCTAAGATTTAAACTACAAGCGCAGTCTCTACAGACAGCTCTGTCTACGGACAGTTTCAAACAAAGCTGCTTCGTTCAAAACAACACGCTGCGTGCCGAGTACTGAGCAAACCTACTGAGGGCAATAACAGTAAAGTCAGCGTAGATGGACTTTGGTAGCAAATGTCGACTTTTTCTCCGTTTAGTTGACCTGTATGTCTCCACCCATACTGGGGAAGCGGTTGTGATTGTGTTTGTGTTTGAATCACACAGTGAATTCCTGGTGATAATCTGCGAAGGCAGAATGTTTGAAATGACTGACAGCTTTGTGTCTGACTGTCCCAGAGCCAGTAACAGTTCAAAGCCTCCTTCACTACCCACTAGCCTCCTACCACATCCCACTTAACACGCAGAACACAGCAAAAGAACAGAGGCAGAAAACTCCTGCAAGCACACCAACGCTATCTTAGCGTTTTTTTTACCTTTTAATTTGTTGTTTTATGTATGCACAGTGTGTGGGTCTGTAAATGAATAATAATTAATAACAAAATGGCAAATTAAAAGGTTTTTGGTTCTTTGGTTCTTGTTTCAGGAATTTGAAAATGTCAACACATTATTGAATTCTCTTATAAGAAAGTGCATTGGCATCAATTATAAGTGTGTTTGAGTTGGTGTGGTAATCTGTATGCTACAGATGCACCATTCAGAGATTAGGTTAAAAAACACTGCTGTAATGTGGTATCTTTTTGTATACGAGTCAGAGAAAAGAGGAGAGGCAGTGCGTAAAGTAACAGGGCGTGAAACTCTTGAGGATGAGTCACAAACAGGTGAACTTGAAGGTGTTTTGAGTAAAAAAAAAAATTTCCAAAGTGGATGGAAAAAGTTCCTTGTCCGAGAGAATCAGGAACGGCCTGGAAGTCCTTGCTTGGGCCTCCCTCCTGCTGTTTCTCAATGCTCCACCCAGCAACAAGGAACTGGCTCAGAAACAAATCCACTCACAGGGGCACACAGCCGCCACATTGCATAACAAACTAATTCCCACACAGCAGATAACAGGTGGCCACGTGCCCTATAAAATGTACAGGTTAAAAGACCTTTACACCACTGCTACACTTGCTAGCAACAGAGAGAAACTGACTGCTACTAGCAAGAGGGGAGGAAGTTTTAAAGAGAAATAAAAAAAAAAGATCAGCCGCCGAAAATTTACACAAAGAACGCGTGAACAGAAGTACAAAAATATTTTAAATTACAGTATAGACAAGCTTCTTGTTGTCAGCCACCTTGTAGTGAAGGCCCATGAATGAAGCAGCGTGGATTAGGACTTCTAATGCTACACGCTAGACTCTGAGGACAAGCACAATAAACACCAAACAGCCAAGACACACACATGGGTGAATGAGCTTGGAGGTGAAGAAGATTTCGTCTGATCACAGAACTCATCCTATTACTTTTACTATGAACTCCCTGACCTAAGACAGTAAAATACAGAACTTTTCTTAGTCAGTAACAGCTTCTCACTCATTAAATTACAAGTCAAAACACTATACATTTCAGATCAATTTAACATTTCAATTGTTCCTTTAAAAGCTATTAACCTGTAATATGAGCTATTTTTAACTGAAGTACCTAGGATCTACAAGTAGGCCATCTTGCTCAAACTATTCAAAAATTCTACTACCCACAGGAAAAAAATACACACTAGGATTGGACCACAATGTAGATGCGAGACAGAAAAATATCTTCTGCAGAATTATCACGCTAAACAACATTATAGTGATCCAAATTCAGTTACAACGTTTCACATACAAGCATTACAGAGCCTTACCCTATAGTTTCCATTTTCCTTACTGGTCATAAAATTATCATACAATGTAATTATTCGCTGAGTTAGCTTCAAATATTACTTAATAATTTATTGTTATTAATAATATTAATAAGCTTAAGGCAGCAACACAGATAACAACATGACATCACACAATGTAAATGTGTAGCATTTCAGGGTAATTCATTACAGACTGAAAGGCTTTCCGAGTTCGTGTTCACTGAGAGGAACTGCAGCTCACTAATGTGGTACAAATGTTTTACTGTAATACAAAAACTAATGCACTAGGTCACAGTTTATGTTACTACACTGTGTGGCTTTACTAAATGTCAGTTTTAACATTTTTTACTGTGGCTAAACTAAAATCGCTTTCAGACCTAGCTTGGTTGGTGCTCACTATTGATGTTTCTTTAATTCGGTCAATTTTTATACAGTATATGCTGCACATCTTTACATCATACCTAAAAAGGAAGAGCTTTGTTTACCATATAGAACTACCCATAAGAAGACACCTAGTGTGGGCAATATGACAATATATCATAATTATCGCCATAAATGACGACACAATGTTCTCTTCAGATTATGGTGTGTAATATCAGGTCTTCTAAAAAACTTAACAACGGATGGATCATAAAAGAGACAGATTTAGACCAATTACTCAGAGCTTAGTAAGAGAACAACCAAGGCCAGCCAATTAAATTTAAGTTTAAATTAAGTTTTTCTTCCTGAACTTTCTTCAACAGCTTATTTTTGCAAATGCTGAATTAAAAAATAAATCACTGTAATCATAGTTTTTCATAGCCTTTTTCAACTGTAACAATTTAGCTAGTGCATTTTTTCTTTCCAAACCAGGAAAGCAAAATATTGCAATATGCCTTCAGGTATCACAATGTTTTTAGGGATACATCAGCATGGAAATTATGGTCTGACACCAATACTGTTGATGTACATATCTGCTGACACTAATACCAACACATAAACATTGTAGAAATGTAGAAACTGGGGCCAGATCCACATGGATTAGCACTACAGAGAAATGTAACATTTGTAACTGCACACGTTTTAGTGCAATAGCCCAGCATTGCCTAATTACTGTGCTCTTCTGGAGTGCAATAAACATGTTATCAAATATCAGTTTGAAATATCACACACACACACTTCATATTTTGGCAAATATCTGCCAATGCCAATATGATGCTGATATCATCCAGCATCCCTCACATTTTGCCATATCACCCACACTTAAATACACCAGTGGAGTTTGTGGAGGTCCTTAAACCAACAACAGGACTCTTACAGCCAGCCTAAAGATGTACATAAGTCTATGACCTAAAAGCTTTTGACTTATACTACGGAGAAACGGCCTGGACACCACTCTATGAAAGCCACACACACTCACACACTCATATGCTCATACACTAATCTCATTTTCTCATGAAACATTAAATTAACAATTCATTTCCTTGCCTCTGTATCAATCCCTTTCCCCCTCCATGCCTATGATCCATGAGTGCTATGCTAACTTCCCACCCTGAGGCTGAGGTCACTCTGAGCTAATGAGCCTTTCTCCTTTCGTAACTCAGGTGATCTGGGTCCAGATAAGGGCACTAAAGAGTATACCTGTACCACACTGTATTCAGAGCCAAGGTGCCTGTATGCCCCTGAACACTCAGCACTAGCGTATCAGTTAACCCGCCGAGTTTCAGTTGTGCTACACTACAATTAGGCAGGGGAGGAGTCTGAGCCCAAACATGGCCATTACTGCTGCCCAAACCAACAAAATGACAGGAGCTTTTGAAATCATCACACTGAAGTGCTCGTAAGTTGTTAATGACCAGTTTAAGTTCCACATTTAGACATAGTTAACAATTTGCCAAGCTTTTAAACTAAGCCAAGCAGAGGCAGTCTTGCTGACATTTCAAAAACACACGAACATCACCAAAGCCACCTTATAGGAAAAACTTTAAAACTTAAAAAGAAAATTATAAAAGAATCATTACAGTTTAAAATAGTCCTTAAACCACAGCAGAATTAAGACACTGAGAGATTAGACTAATGAGAAGAGAAACATTACAGGCCAGTTTTGAGAAGCGAACAGCAGATCTTACAACAGACTGAGGGCCACATTATGACCCTACCAGAGACAAACTTCTTGAATGACACTCTTACCTGCAAGGCCTGGCCAACCACACACAAATATGACAAATGTAACTTTGTCCAAGAGTGCTGCATGTTTTCTATAGCGACCCTACACAGGGGGAACATCCTTTGAACGCTACACAGTCGAAGACATAAAAACCCTAGTAGTGAAGGACCACTGCACAGTTAAAGTCAAACAAATGACTCAGTTTTCCGTGGAGCCGATTCCCCCTCACATATCCGAACACTGTCCAGTAGCAAGTTGGTTTACAAGGGAGTTGCCAGTCTGGTATGGTACAGGATATGCTGCTAATAATAGATTTTGACTCGAGTTTTCCCCCTGCCCCTAGCCCTCAGGAGGCTGAACGTTTACAACACACGGTGCCAACACATAGCCTAAGATCCCTCCAGTTTCAGGCCCACTCTCCATTAAGCCATGTTTCAATCCTCCAAAACAGCATGAGAGTCCAAGTCTGCAGCTCAGCCATGCGATTTGGCAGACACTACAGGGGGCACATTACAAAATGTTTCTGGGTCTGAAATCAGTGCCAAATGGCGTTATTTTTTGGAAAAGATGAAACTTTGTGGGTACATATGAACAAGCAACACGACTGTCCCTGTGTTGTAGGAGCCTGAGCTGATTTATTTGTTTCTAACATTACCTCAGACCTAAAGAATCAGCCAGTAAGCCTATGGGTGTGACAGTACTGAGCACTGACTGTCAAAACATTCCCAAAGAGACACCGCAGCTGTAATATATTCACGAAATGGCTAAATACTATTCTTAACGAAACACAAAAATGATAAAGAAAGCGATTTAAGTAAAAGAACGTATAACTTTATATCAGTGTGGTGCTGGTGCTGCTCATTGCCAAGTTTCTCATTCTTGAACACAACGCCTTGCACATTTGAACTGCTGCGTCCTTAACAAAACACATTTTTAATGTTAATAATTTTAAAAAACTCGACCAGGGAGATGAATAATCCCCATTTTAGACAACATATGCTGCTGTTAGTGAAGCAACAGTTGTGCTGGTTAATGATTTCCTAGGCCTTGGCTCCTCTGGGCCAGTTAACCCTTTAGCAGCGAGCTGGAAAACTCTACATTTGGTATCCAAAATATCCAAAAAGCTGATTCAATTACGCTTAAAATAGCTTGTTGAAAATGGAACACATTTAAACGTACGTTTGTGTTGTTAGATAAAACAAAAAGTGGATGAAGAAACAAGAATTTAATATTTTTACCTGCACGGAATCGGCCGCCATCTTGCCCCCTCAACTTTTGAATCAAACTCGGGAGAGCAAACGGGAGCCAAACTCCAGCAGTTCTCCTCACGATTACTGTATTTATCCCCTGAAATGAGTCAGTAAAACATTGGGAGAGCCAACAGGAGCCCACCCCCACCACTTCTCCGCGCGATTCCCTTCACTGTATCCTGAATAAAATCAGTAAAACATCGGGAAAGCGAGCAGGAGGCGAAGAGGAGTCGAGCTCCAGCACTTCTCCCACTTCTCCTCCTCACGAGTTGTCCTCGTTCTTCCAGATATAGTTCAGTGAACCACCAGCAGAGCAGACGAGAGCTGAACTGCAGCTAAGCACGTCTCCTCACGATTTCTCCTACTTTCTATATTTTCCTGCTTAAAAAGTCATTAAAAAATCGGCTCTGAGACTTTTCCATCGCTCGGTCTGAACTCCCCGATCTCCATGACGGCGCCTTGGTTTAACTTTCTTTGTAAATTCTTCCAGTCTGAAGAAAAATATCACAAAAAAGCAAAAGTCCACCCACAGTTTAAGAGACTGTGGTTCGGAGACGGAGCCGTTATTTTATTCCAGATATTTTTAAACGGCTCTCCTGCGCTCGCGCTGCTACTCCACTCCGGCTGACTCAGTCACGTGACCTGTGTGTGTGTGCTGGGGGTGCAGTCGTTCCCGGAGCAGGACGAAAATAGTGACCCCCTCACTCACTGCTGTTAGAGCGACCTTCAACAGCCCTGCCCTGTCCCACCACCACTACCACAGACAGAGCACTGTACATTATATTAATCTACTCATCAGTTGCGATCATGATTATTTGCTCTTGCTTTTAAAGGCAGCCTAAAAATGTTTTTGTTAATTCACATCTCGATCATTTTAAAGACAATTTATTATATATTTAATATCGTTACACGACAAAATTCTTGTTTTGCTGTACTCTTTCATTAAAATATAATGATGTTTGCCTGATTCTTAAAATATCTTTTAAAGTTTGATTACACCACCATGCACCAGTGGGCGGGGAAAATAATATTGACCAATGAAATTACATTTCACTTCCCTCTCCCACCATCACTATCTAACAACAACTGAAAATACTCAGCTAGCTCTGTTTCACTCTGAAATATGTCACATATGGAAGGAAAATGCATTATGATTTTATATTTAAGTTGACTTTACTTTTAAATGTTCCGATGTTTTTTTATGAAGTTTCTTTAATTTTTGCCAATTCCTATTTTACTTTATTTCACTATTTATTAGAATTTTTGTGATTACCTTTAATCAATGTCCTTTTTTTATTTCTTTTTTAACTTTTCTGTTTTTTGTGTATTCTTCTCAGTATTTTATTTGTAATGTTATATGTAATATATTGTTATTATTTTTATTTTGTTTTATTTTTTATTTTCTAAAGCACTTTGAGCTCCTTTAAAGATCTTTGTATGAAAGATACTGTTAAAAAGTATTACTTTATTTTATTTTTTTTTATTAGTTGCTTTTGCTGTAGTAATTTTAGTTATAAAGCTGGATATGTTGGCTGAAGTATTTGTGTATGCTGTTCTTTGCTGTACTTTTTTTTGAGAAAGAGACCCCGTGTAATACGTACACCCTCATGCCACCAAAACATTTACAGTTCACAAGCTTAGCTGGTCCTTCAGACCACCAGACCACCACGAAGGCAAAGCCCTGCCCCCCACTCACTCTCTAAAGTGTCGTTGTAATTTGATAGCATCTGTAAATGAACTATTTTGACCATGACACATGAGAAGGCCATAACAGAGTCATGGCTGGAGCAATCCAGCACCTATTCTTTTTGCTCATCCACTTTAAATGTACTCGGAACTGTTGATGAGGAAAGTTTGCTTTGTTGTAAGTGCACAAGCCTGTAATACGATACTTCAGTAAGAGATGGATAGCCTGGTTAAATATTAGGATGTTGCACAATATTTAGGTTTCAAAAATGAATTCACATGTGTCACTTTATATTAGTGAAATTAGCAGACAGAAGCTTTGATGCAGGTGGAGACAACTGTACCTTTGTTCACAGCAAGATACAGAGGCACAAAGGGGTGTATATGTGTGTAAAAAATTTGCATGTACAGTATCAGCAGTCACTTCATTCTGCTCGACAGACAGCAAATTAGTGGCCCTGCACTCCGTACTCCAAGTGCCCGACTGACAACAAGCAAGTACAGTACAAGAACTCTCCTAATGACAGGCAGTGGAACTGCCTTGGAGGCTTACAGTTGTACGCAAACATTTGAGCCCCACTGGTCAAGGTACATGTTTTCTGTACATTTTAATGTACAATTACTGTCCATTTGCTGAATTCAACATTTTGGTGGAATACAGAACCTAAATGAGGCCTGTGCAAAAGTTATAGCAAATTTTCTATTTTACGTTTATTTTTTTTCCAGTATGTTAAACTCACCAAATAGAAATTGTACACAAAAAGTGCAGAAAAATAACATTTCAATTTGTTCCCTGTAGAGGATGTGTTGACTTATTTACACTTCAACTAAATCTAACTCTAAACTTACATTAACTAAACGAAACATCTGATTTGATGACCAGAGGTGTTCAAACTATTACGTAAGACTGCATATGTGTCTCTATATTATGTCATGTATATGGAACGCTAATTGGGAAAAACAGTGCAGAATTTCCTTATTAACTGTATTACTTCAAAACTGTCCAGTGGGAATTGTCCCTTACAAGTTCTCCAGCCAGATGATTTTGAGTTACATTTACATTTAAATTTACATATAATCAGTTAGCAGATGCATTTTACAAAATGTAACATCACTGGGAGCCAAATCAGTACAAAGTACCCAGAGAATCTGTTGTTATAAATGAGACCTATCATAGCTTGATGTAATTAATTAATACAAAAGTAAACCTCAAGGACAAGCAATAAGTGCTGTTTTTTTTAATTCACTCTCAAAAATAAAGGTGCCAAAATGGGATCTTTAGAGTACTGCCATAGAAGAACCACTTTTAGTTCCCTAAAGAGCCATTCAGCAGATGGGTCTTTGAAGGATTGTCTATGTAAATGTTAATGCATTTGCAAATTTTTGAGTTGTAAATGAGTTTGCAAACCTTTTACAGTTTAAAATTATTGAAACTTCATCATGTAAAACTTAAATACTGGTTAAAGATTTTTTCCTAGAATTGTAGGTTCAAGCCAAACATCATTTACAGATTTTTATTTTTTAAGAAAATAAAATTTTTTAAGCAAAGGTTTTGCTTCAGACTCTTGATTTATGTCATCCATGATCATTGAGAAATCATGTTTTGTGAAATGTGTCCAGATCTAAAACAAGCAGAAAATATGGGCTGCATCTAAAACCACATAGTATACTATACTATACAACAGTATGTTCTTTGTATTAAACTAATTAAGGCATTACTAATGGTGGTGTACTATTTTGACACAGTATATTTTGTATGGCAGTTAGCAGTTTTGGACGCAGGCATGGAGATGGCATCCACTGGTGAAAGCCTGAGCTGTAGGCCCCATAGACTTAAGCTCAGCTCTGTAGCTTAGCTGTTGTGTTGTATTTACTCATCACTATTGTTTGTCTTGTTTATTTTCTCTCACCTCTGTTTGTGGTTTTCGGGTTTCGGCTCTAGACACGGATCCTGCGTCTGAAATCCCTGTTACCACGACTGGCTTCTTTACTCAGTAGCTCTTAAGGAAGCTGAAAGCCAGAGACTTCCTGTGGTAACAATTGGGCTTCCTGTGTTAGACCGCGTGTTGCTCTATCAGATGTGATAATCTTCTGCGGCTTTCATCTAATAGGTTATAAAAATGCACACAGCAGAATTCTCTGGACATTAGTCTGAGTTTGGAAATGGCATTGCTCTCTCTGGGCCGGCTTGGACGTTAGAACAAGAGATTAATGTTTGCTTAGACTTGAAAGGTTACAGAGGTTGGCCTATTTCTTTAAATGTAAGAGGGATTACTTCTTAACTCATTATTGAACTTTGTGTTGAAAGGAAATGTTTGGCTAAAAATCAGATTTACACAGTTTTCTTCTTTCCCAAAATGTAGTTAATCAGCCAAGATGTTTCTGAAGCTCTTCTTTAGTTTTGCAGATAATAAGGCTCATTTAGCTAACAAGC